ATCTCGTAAAAAAGTTATGGTCAAGTTGTCACCTCTTCCCTCCGCTACTCGATCCTTTAAGTCGATGTAGCTTAGCTACCTGTGAGCGGTTGGTTGAAAAGTCTTTGAGTTAAGCTATCATGTTTTCCATCTTCAGCTTGATCTATGTTTGTTTGTCTCACTAAATGTTTCAGCTGGTTTCAGCTCATCGTATCTACTATTTGTCTTTTAACAAAATGAAAAACCTTACTCTGAATGGAAAATAAAACAAAGCGAAAATAACTCACTAATATTCACTGATACTCGTGAATAATTCACTAGGAATTAGTTTCCTAGAGTTAACGTAACTCCTTTAATTTTTTTTCGGTGGGCTAAGCTGATGAAAGTAAAAAGGAACATTAAAATGTTCTCTTCTAGGTTCAGATCTCGGGATATCACTTCTCTTTTTCATAACAGTTATAAGCATTGGCAAATTTCTGCCTAAATATCGACGTCCAAATTTGATTTTTCTGAAGGATTTTTTGCAGGGACATCCTATTTATTTTCCGGGCCTGTTTAGCTGAGGCTGCTTAAGGATCATTATAGAGTGACAACGGACAGTGTCAAGTTTGCTTCTCAAGGGAAAAATCGAAGTAGTTGTCCCTTCTTCCTCGGCACCAGACTATTCGGTCAAACCGAGTTAGTTAAAAATTAAGGAAAAAGTACATGTGGCATTAGCCACGTTTAACTTCAGCTACAATTTTTTCACGTTGTTTTTCCTCGAGGCATTGTACGATTTTTTGGGGGTTAATACAATATTTGAAACTGAAGGAAAAAATTAGGGTAGTTCGCACTTACTGTACAAGATGCTCTGCAAATTCACTCAGGGTTTTTTGTTCTTGCTGCGAATTTTTTTCGTCGATGCTTAAAAAAGTCTTGCTGAAGTTTTGCTGAAATTATGATTTTGTAGTGAATCGATGCAAGTCTGGCACAAGTCTGTAACAATATGCAATTTCTGTGAAGGCTACTTGCCTCTCAATTTCATATGCTTCAACTTCGACAATCGTTTTATTGTGAAAAACCAATTTTTCAGTTATATGTAACTATTGTTTTCTTAGCAAATGAGATTTTGACAGAAGGTTCACAGAGTGAATCTTCAGACGTTGTCAAACTCGCCGGTAAGTAAATAAGTGATAAGGATAATAACTTTTTTAATTAATTTATTTGCAAAGAAAAGTTTACTTTAGAAAAGAATGGATCTCATCGCTGTAAAAAGCCTCCATTTCGATCGTCTGCCAACTGAAGATACTGTTTTTTACTTACCGGTAATTATCTATAAAGCAAAGAGTTTGGTAATCGAACGTTTATTTTAATTTTTTTTTTAACCTTACTTTTAAAAAACAGATGACATAGTTGTTTTTTTCTTTTCCTGGAGCTGTATATTTGCTTTGAAGGAAAATGCTATATTGTTTTTATTTCCAGCACACGATTATTGGCAATGTGGAACTGTATATCACGTTTCAAATACGATCATATAACCGCATTGTGGGGCTTTTGAAAATGATTTGTTTACTCGAACGACTTTCAAATTTTTTTATGCATTTAAGTTACTGATCATGTAAAAAGAATTTATGCGTGACAAAAACTGTGTTGCTACATCATTGGGGGATAACACGATTAATTTTAGTTTTATCAACTGAGTCGATAACGGAAATTTACACTCTATAGATTTCCGCAGCTGTCGTTTTAATAGAGCGTTAGCCCCTCATTAGAGCGTAAAAAAAAAAGAAAAAAGTTTGGGCCCTGCTCAACATGCGTACTGGCCAAAGCCCTAATGATCGGAAGTGAGGCAAACGCGAGGTGAAGCTCTACGAAACCTCGCCTACCTCAAAGATGAAAGGGATCCTTTGTGTCGAGTGGGAGTGGTAACGAAAAGTATTACTGAATCGCCGTTCATTTTGACCAGCGTTCGTCAGTCGCATCCAAGATGGCGAAGCTTGTTACAAAGGAAGCGTTCGAGTGCGATCCAGATTTTTGTCCTCGCTGTGGTTCCATCCTTCCTCTTCCTGGTGTATCGGATGTTGTTTCCTGTATTCTGTGCGACTTCAAAAAAGACGCATCTGGTAATACTTCACAGAGAAGTTTTGGTTTTTAAAATTCGATGAGAAGCTGAGGAACTCGATTTCCACAAGTTTCTACTTACAGCAAAATAACTCTTGGTAGATGATCACATTCTTTCGAAAGAAATATTTTGAAGATTGACAGTTTAGACCGTCATGACGAAAGTTTATGGTAGCAGTTTTTTCTTTTTTTTTTCTTTTTCATAGATCAGCCAGATTTTTTGTTTTTGGTTGTTGTTGTTGTTGTTTTTTAATCGTTTGGCTGTTGTTTAGGAACTATTAAATGGGGTTCTATCAAATAATAGAATACCTATGTCGGTTGCAGGACTCATAAGGTCTCAACCTCGTTATAATTTAATCTTTTTCAGGTGGAGCCTGGGCACTCTGTCAGAAACTGTGTGCTATAACATAACTAGTAAATTGGAAAATTAAATATCATTGTATAAGTATGCCTCACATTGCCATTGTGCACACAGAAGCACAATCTCAGGTTTTCAATCCATTTTGCACAGCACTTTCCATTTCCAACACTAGACTAATCATAACAGACACAAAGAGACAAGCAAAGCTATCGTAACCATTATACTTTTCACTTTATTTTCTATGTTTTACAGAATTTGAGGATATAGAAGTTCACTCACGAAAGGTGTTCAACATTCCAAAAGAGAAAGCAACCACTTTGAAAGATTCAGAGGAACCAATAGGGCCTATGGTAAGATAGTGGTTTCTTGTCTAGTTAGTAGCTATCATTTTAGCAGTCCTTAATATTTTGATATACTTCTGAAGTTACGTAAAACTTTGTATTAACTTGCTATATACATAATTACAGTAACCATGAAGTTTACTTAAGGCTTGAAAGCTAATAAGAATCAACTGGCCAATGTTTCTAGTGTTTCATGAGTTAGATTTCCAAGGTACCAAAGAATATTCAAGTAAAGCAATGATCTTTGCAGATGACCTGCACCTAACCTTTTAACTCCTAGAAGTGATCAATATGAAACTTCTCCCGATAATGTCCTTACATTATCCAGCAAACAGCTAATGAGAATGTTTAAACTTATGAGTCAGAAGCTGTTGTCTTGATCTAAGACCAAGTTCTCATAACTAAGTTACAAGGATATGTGTAACAACTAGAGGGGAGAGTTACCAATCAGATCTTGGGAGTTAAAGGGTTAAGCAATCACAGAGAAGGAACCTGAATAAAAAAAAATTCAGGCTTTGACAGGATTAGAATCCATGCCTACTAGATACTAGCTGGATGCTATTACTAACTGAGCTATGAGGACTTTAAAGTTTTCAAATTTTCTCCTTAACCCTTTCCACCCTAACATCAGTATTCATATTCTCCATACTGCTCTCTCTACATTTACTAAGGTGCTGACAAGGAGAATTTGTCTAACAATCAAGAGTTTCTTAAGTTGTTGATCATTTCCTTTATTCTCATGACATTAATGTGTGATTCAGTGGTGATATTGCAAAGAGAAATTAGATGCCAGTCACTCTTAGGTGTTAAAGGGTTCATTTTGATAAATTCTTTTCAGGCTGACAGAAAATGTTCAAACTGTGGACACGAAGGCATGACATACACCACAAGGCAAACTAGATCAGCTGATGAAGGCCAAACAGTGTTCTTTAGCTGTCCACATTGCAAGTAAGAAACTGATGATGTAATGTTGCATTAACGGCCAATACAAAGTAGACATTGGAGTTTTGTTTATTTGCCAGGTTGTCTCTAAGATGCTGTTTGTGTTACTTTTTGTTAGTCTGTTTTCTTCAGTCTGTTTTTGGACAGGCCAATTTTTTCAGGCTTTAAATGTAGTCAATGTGATTAGCTCCTAGCACATTATGTTGGTGCATAGCCGAACATTGTGAAATTTTTGATTATGTTTTTTGTTTCAGTCTCGTTTTCCCCTTGGTTTTATTTTAAACTTTATGATCAAGTGGGGTGTATTCCTCAAAGTGATGAAATTAAAAGATGAATCATGTAGTACACATAGCTAGAAATTGTGACTGTGATCCATCACAGTTGCAGTTTCTATTGAACTATATCAATTTTACATATTTTTATGTTTGGTATTCACTAATAAAGTTTTCTATTCTTTCTTTCTTCAGGATTCAGGAAACAGAGTATTCTTAAGGATTTCTGTGGTTTAAATCATTCATGCATTTGCAAACATCTTTGCATGTTAATGCCAGTAGCACAGAAACAACAATCCCTGCTTTGTTGTGCAGGCTTCTTTTTGGAGTTTCTGTCTGCATTTTGTAAGATACAACCAGCATTCATGCATTTACATGTAATATAGTAGAAAGTGCCTTGAGTAGTAAAACTGTATGTCTTATTTAAGACTTGAAGATTCCCCCGAAAAAAAGAATATCATACCCTACTTGGTGGAATACACCAGTCATGGTAAAATATAGAAATGCCTTAAGAAAAAAGCTTTTGCATTAAAAATATTACAGCAAAATGGAGAGTACTTTTAATTTTCTTAAAATATCAATTAATGGATTCTCTTGGTATGAGCATATAGCTAACCAAGAAGACCAAACAACTGCTGATAAAAAAAAAGGAAACAACAACAAAAGTTACCATCAACTCTCAACAAATGGACTTATTATTAATGGACACTCTCGTAACCAGACACTTCCACTTACAGACACTTTCTTCAATTCCTGTTTGTGTCCATATATGACGGAGTTGACTGTATAAACCCAGAGTTTATTTTTTAAATGCACATATATGCACCTGACACTTGATTCCTATCCTACTTTTGGCAGAATACGGGACTTGAGAACGAAAAATTGAAAAAACAAAATAAACAACTAAGAGGAGGGAAAATTTAAAAAGTGATCGAGGAATCAAGCTGCCAACCGACGCAAGAAATCCGAGAAGTCCACTCCACTGGTATAATTTTTTAAAGCTTGGTTACCCTCACAAGCGCGGCTACCAAGTTTGATGTTGAAGTTTATGATGAGTTCTGATCGTTCGATCGTTCGCAGAAACAAAAGATTATCGTCTGGTCAAGGATTTACATTAGTTGAGACCTAGCTTGTCGTGGTGGTGGAAAGGTATAGGCTTACTTTGGAATAAATTAAGCATAATGTTTGTTTTCTAGGGGACCAAACCGTGTTGATCCTGTTTCATGTCGGCGTCCCTTTTGTAGGACTGCATGCGTTTGCAATTTTTGGAAGGCTGATAAGTCGCGATTTATTTCACCTCCTGTAACAGTGAGATAGTGGACCGTTGTCGTCTCAGAACACACAAAAGGAGAAAAGAAACGAACACTGTCAATACTGAATTAAATTAGTTTTGATTTCAACCTAAGCTTGGTCATATACTCCAACTCCACTCACTTCCCGCCTTCGATGCTGAATGATCAATTTTATGCACCAGGAGAGGTTGTTTTCTAGTAACCAACATTGCAAGGGAGAGTAAAGTGAAGGATTGCGAAAGCTTTTACAGGGATTGGTCAAAATTTGATGTTTTCATGAACTGCCCAGTTACCTACATGTAATCATGTTGAAGTTTGTTTATCAGAACACTATCGTTTTATCAGTCCACTCTTAATTGCAGATCCCATGAACCTGTCATTTGCAGGCTGTGGTTTTCTTGGGGTTTACCACCTTGGAGTTGCAACTTGCCTAACATCGCATGCTCCACAGTTTTTAAAGAATGTAACAGCCTTTGCAGGTGCTTCAGCAGGGTCACTTGTTGCTGCAGTGCTAGCAACATCAGCTCCACTGGACAAGTGTTCAGATTATGTCATAGAACTTACTCATGAAGCTCGTAGACACCCTCTGGGGCCTTTTAATCCCCAGTTTGACTTGGTTGGGAGTTTAAGAAAAGGACTTGAACTTTGTCTTCCTTCAAATTCCCACCGAATTGCTTCAGGAAGGCTTTTTATTTCTGTGACCAGTCTAAAGGACAGAAAGAATGCAATTCTGTCTGAGTTTGATTCCAAAGAAGACTTAATTCAGGTAATACATAATTGATAAAAATGGCTAAGGTCTGGTATGAGTTAATGTAAAGGAGCATAATTGGTGAGGAAGCAGTGAGAAATTCAGAAACTGCCCTATAGGCATAGCAAAGTGAAGTAGAGTACAAAGAATTTGAAATGCATTCTAAAGCTGGTGAGTTTAGTTGCTATTAACCCTGTAACCCCCAATGCACCAGTCAATGTAAACCCCCACACCCCCCAGCTGGGACATAGCAGGGCATTTGACAAGCGCTCACTTCTAAAGTTGCAAAATGCCCCGGACCCCAAGGTCAGGTTTTTCCTCTAATTGAAGCTAATGACCTTGCTCATATCCCCCACTCTTGTTGAGTGGAAGACACAGGCTAATGTAAATGTAACACAGGCTAATGTAAATTATTTGTCAAGTAATGCATGTCACTGCATACAATGCTTTTCAAATGGTATAAAATGTTTGTGGTGCCATCTTGCCAGACTAGTGTTTCTTGACCCAGTCCACCATGGTGGAAAATACCCTGGTCCACTCCCCTGCTGTTCATGGATGACATGCAAAAGAGGTCAAAGTCCCCAATACCTGCAGCCCTTTCACTCGTCAAATAACGGAAAATTCCCCGCAAATACCCCGCTATGTCCCGACTGGGAGAGTGCAGGGGTGTACATTGACTGGTGCATAAGAGTTCCTAGCACCTAATTTCTCCTTGTAATATCACCCTTGAATCAAACAGTAAGGTCAAAAGAATTATGGAAATGACCAACTAACAAAGCTCTTGATTGTTTAACATATTCTCCTTGTTAGCACCATTGGAAATTTATAGAGAACATTGTGGAGAATATGGATACTGATATTAGGGTGGGAAGGGTTATTAGTCAGCTCTCTAACCCATTTAAACCTCAGATCTCTGCATATGAAAGGAAACTGGTGGCAGTGAAAGCAAAAAGTTTAAAGATTTTGTTTTGTCCAAAACACATTGTAAATGTGATTGATTCAATATTAGCTTTGATAGGATCTAAGGTAGAAATATTTGCAACATTACATTTAGCTGCTGAAGGAGGGAAACCTTAAACCAGTTTAAAGGCCTCCTGGTATATTTTTATGAAGTCCTTGTCAGTTTAAAGTAAAGACTGCTAAATTTTTGATGAATGGTGTTTAGTTATGCTAATTGGTGGTACATTTTTCCCAATGTTCATACAGAAAAGCAGCACCCCTGATTTGTTATGAAAATTTTATGAAGAGAGGTTTATCTTATAGGCCTGTGTTATGGTAGTTTAATAACCTGTGTATGAGTTACTTAAACTAGCACATGTCTCTCACATAGTACAATTAAGTTTTAGACAGCCATGACCCTATTATGGAAATGTTATTCAACTGTACTCTCTGTAGAGAACCAGACCTTTGTATTCTATTAGTTGATCTCTTGCCTTCTTTAAGAAATGAGACTCCTTGCCTTGTATTCATGCTCTGTTACAATACATGTGCACATAGTGTACTTACTAGTAAAGAAACTTCTATAACAGGCCACATTGAATTAAAGATTGAAGTAATGATTTTCCTTCTCTTTCTGCTTCTGTTAAGGTTTTGCTGGCAAGTTGTTATATTCCCTTCTATGCTGGACTGAGCTTTCCCAGATTTAGAGGTCAGGTAGGGTATTTTGGTTTGTCTATTTCTTTGCATTGTTATTTTAACCCTTTAACTCCCAAGATCTGATTGTCAATTCTCCTCACTAGCTGCTACTCATTTCCTTGTAAATTTGTTATGAGAATTTAGTGTTAAATCAAGATGACAACTTCAACCTGATAATTCTGAGTATTCTCATTACCTTTTTGCTAGATAACGTATAGATATGATAAGGAGAAGTTACATGTTAATCACTTGTAGGAGTTAAAGGGTTAATTTGCAGTTTTCTTACGTACACTGTTATTAAAATTATCTCTTTTGAATATTACAGAGCTCATTAAACAAAATTAACCAGTCCCTTTATTAGAAACAAGAGCAGATTCCAGTTAACTTAAATTTACATACCAATCAATTTAACCCTTTCCACCCTAACATCAGTAGGCATATTCTCCATACTTTTTTTCTATTAATATATGGTATTGACAAGGAGAATTTGTTGAACAATCAAGAGCTTCTTTAGTTGGTTCCTTTATTCTCATGACCTTAATGTGTGATTCAGGGATGATATTGTAAGGAGAAATTAGATGCTAGTCACTCTTAAGGGTTCAAGGGATTTCAACAGAATTTAGATGTCCTGATTGCTTGTTTCCTGTATTGGAAGGGAACCAATTGTGTACAGGTGACCCCTGGTAACAGTTAATACACTGCAAAAGAGAACCAGATTTTTTAAAATGCATATGTAAATAAAAATGTGATAGTATAGAGAAACTGCCTTAAAAACTGAATTTGATAGGAAAGAGGGAATTCTTTTAAAGTGCCATGTATGTCCTCTAATGTTGATACTTGAGTATTAAATTATGCCATGCTCATAACAGATAATGATAAAGGAATCAAATTGTGACTGGTGCAAAAATGCATACAACAACAAAGTAATGGTGTAAGGCTGGGTGTTCATAAAACCTTCTGCTTTTCCTATACATACACTTTTATAAGATAAAGCTTACAAACTTAGAGACCTTTACTAAGGAATAAACTCTAAAAATGATTGCAGTCTAGTTTCAATTTCTGTCTGCAGAAGCCTTCTTTAATTACACTAGAATCTTTCATCAAATAAGGCACTCAGGATTTGCCAGTTTTTCCAACCTTGCTTTACTTGGAACTGTGACATCACATTACAGAAAATTTCAAGTAGAAACTGTTGTAACTTTACATACGCCTTGGTTTTGGCTCAAAAGAGGTAATGGTTTGTGCTATTTATCTTGACAATGATATGGTATGGTGAAATACCAACTCAGAGCACAGAACCCTAACCATTGTTTCTTATCATCTAACCCTTTAACTCCCAGAAGTGATTAACAAGTAACTTCTCCCTATAATATCCATACATCATCAACAAAACAGGTAATGAGAACACTCAAATTTATCAGGGTAGAGGTATCTAACACCAAATTCTTGTAGCTAAGTCAAAAGGAAATGTTTAGCAGCTAGAGGAAAGAATTAGCAATCAGACTTTGGGATTTGAAGGGTTAAGAGCCATTTACACCATAATACCAGCATACAGATTCTCATCACTGTTCTCTGTACAAATGCTAATTGGAGCTGACAAGGTTAAATCTGTGGAACAATCCAGAGTTTCTTCAGATACTGATCGTTTCTTTTATTCTCATGACATTAATGTTTGATTTACCAGTGCTACAGTAAAGAGAAATTAGATATTAGCCACTCTCAGGGTTTAAAAGAGTTAATTAAGACTCTACTACTGTACCACGATACCACTTCTCCCGCCGTGTGACAAAGGGTAAGGTTTTATCCCAAGGTTTATACAGGTAAACTCTGCATGTATCTCGTTTTCTCTGCAGAAATGGGTAGACGGTGGACTTAGTGATAATTTACCAAGGCTTCCGTTCGGCCGAACTATACGTGTATCTCCATTCAGTGGTAATGGTAATGATATATGCCCACAAGACGAGTCTCGTGGTTTTACTGACGTCACTTTCCATAATATGAATGTCTACGTAAATAGAGAGAATCTTCAGAGGGAGTTGCAGATATTTATTCCTCCCAAGAAAGATGGGATTGAGAGTTTAGTGCAGTTAGGTTTTAATGACACTCTGAGATTTCTGCGAAAGGAGAACTTGTGCAATTATTCAGTGAAACCTCTTTCTCCAACTCTTCCCATGAAACATTTTCATGAATAGTGCCGTGTTCTAGTTGCAATAACTGACTGTCACCTTTGTTGTCATTTTATTGTCGTATTCCTCCAAATCGAAATTCAATTGATGTATAGTTTTTATTTAAGACAGTACTTTTCAATTGAGATCAGGTTGGTGGTACTCTGGCCTGAGTTTTGATGACGAAAATCTATTCTTATCTGGGATATTGCCCACATGCCTCAACGAAGATGTTTTGATAATAATTGTTATTATATTACTATCGATAATGATATTGGCTCAATCCTTTTATCATTCCCAAGTTCCTTTTAATTCTTGCCGGATCAGTCAATGCGTGGTTATGGAGATCAGGACAATTGTGTCGCTGTACAGTGTGGGAAGAATGCATACAAAAATTTTATGCTGGTGTTTTTAGCCTGTTCTAGAGGGTTGTTGGTTTGACTTTTTTTATTTACACGCACCATATACCACTGGTGTCAGGGAAATTAAGCCTTGATTAGAGTGTTTTATGGTTGGAGTTAGGCGGCCGTGGATGAGCAGTATGTTATGACTCAGACAATAACCCAAGAACAGTGTGTTACACAATGCAGTATATAAATGAAAGGTTATTTATTTTATTACTTGTTTAATATTCTAATCTATTGGTTTACGGTTAGAAGTTTTGATAAGTTTGAAGTGAGAACTAAATCTGTTATTTTAGTGTTAATTTACCTTTTTTATGTCGTGGCAATGGGTTGCCGTTTACTTTATTGTTATGTTATGTTAAACAACACTCTTTGTGTTGTTGATATCTTAAAGTTATACAGCATTATTTTAGTAATCACTGCAACTTGCGTGTCGCTTCTTGTTCTCGTCTTCCTTGTGAATCTCGTTAGTTAACTCTTTTAGTGCCAAGGTCCGCCATAGTACATGTATAAATGGAATTAACTTGACCAGAAAGATTCTGTATTTACATGAAGAATAAAATGTTATAGGTTTTAGATTTTCACCTCCGGCTGAAGACTAATAGACCCGTTTCAGTCTTGGGGCAGATCGTTAGTTTACCGCTGGACGGAGGTGTTGCCTTAAAAGGCTCCAGATTTCGTAAAACTAAAGCTATAATGTACCTTGATGTCTCGTCAGCTTTCATTTCGTATCTCTGTGCAGTGACCCACTTTTCAGCGCGTTACTAGACTTGCCATAGAGAGGTCTATTCGAAGCTAGGTGGGTTCCTTTCGTTGTGCGCATGGGTGAGACACTTCACCCTCGCAGTTCCTCTCTCCAACCAGGAGTGTAAATAGAAGCCAGATAGCTGTTGGAAAGACTTGAAGAGATGCAGGGGGTAATCTGTGATGGGTGGTATTCCATCCTGCAAGAGTTATTAAACTCCCAATCGCTCCTGTAATCGTTTAACCCCCAAGAGTGACTAGCATCAAATTTCTCCTCATAATATCACTCCCGAATCACACACAATAGGTTACAAAAATAACTGAAATGATCGCCAGCTAAATAGGTTCGTGATTGTTAGACAAATTCTCCTTAACAGCTCCTCAAGAAAAGCATAGAGGTCGGCATGGAGAATATACTTACTGAAGTTAGGGTGTAAATGGTTAATAAAAGAAAGACCAGTAAGCCTTCTGGATAGATGAGCCGCTCGGCTTGTGTTCAGACTCTACCATCTTTTCACGTTACATAGGCTTGGTATGATGGTGGTTTTACTGATAACCAGCCCATTCCTTCGACGGGGTCGACCATCAGAGTATCACCATTTGGCGGGAACAGTGAGATCTGTCCGCGAGATGAATCGTACGTCTTTACTGAACTGAACTGGAGGAAAATGCACGTTTATGTTAACAGAGAAAACATGAACAGGGGAAGACACGTTTTCTACCCACCCAGGAAACGACACTTGTCTGAACTATTTGCAAATGGCTATGGTGATGCCTTACAGTTTGTCAAGGAGAATCACTTGACTTGATGCAATCTGATGTGTTATGGTACCAGCTGATTGAAGCAGTTTCCAAATGAATGTCGACAAGCAAAATTAAAGTTATCACAGTGACCAATCAGAACCAAGATTATCATCATCATCAGCCAATGAGGACTCAAAGAGAAAACAAGCAAACTTCTTGAAGCGCGGGGAAATGCGGTGAATTAAGTTGTGTTTAATGTTGCATCTGATTGATCGAGAGAGAGTGGTGCGAATTTTCTGGACCAATCACTAAGCGAGGCCAAACCAATCTTGATTTACTTTCTTCGCCAACTTGAAAATGGCTCATACGTTAACCTATAAGTTTTTAAAGGTATACCCGACTATGTGGAGTTAGTTTCACGAGTGATCATGGTATCAACGATTAATTTTCCGAATTTCTCGTCCTTGCATGCGCTTATAGGAGAATGCGATAAACAACAACCAGAACAAATAAAACAGTCATTACCCATGAGACCTTTTTGGCGTTTGCATGTTCACCTCTGTTTGACACCTTCTCGAATGAGTGGTTGATCAGGTGTTTTTGGTTATCGTGTCTGTAAATAAGATTGAAAGCTGTGATTACGAGCTGTCTGCATATGTCCAAATTAAACTTGAAATGTAAAGAATAAGCTGTGTTCCGTGTACCATTTTAAAAGCACCAGTGGTGGGTGTATGCTTCTTATCTTTGATGCATTTGGCTGCGAAATAAAAATCGACCATCACTGACATCTGCTTACATCGTCTTTGATGGTAGCGACTAAGCGTGATGAAAATGAAAGTCCTGAATTTCCAAATTGTGAGGTGTGAGCATAATCTTTATCGTGCAAAGCATTTCCTTTCAATTTTTCTTTTTTTGTACCTTCTATAAATTGTATATTTTGTAGTTTCATTCGCTCATGCTACACGCCTTTTCTGATTTTTATGGTTGTATTAATTTGCACCTGATGATATCTCGCATAGATGCAAACAGCCGGTCAATTTATTGGCAATTTGTAATTATACTAATGCCAAAAAGCTTTTTGCATTGGGAGTGATGTGTAAATCGATCAAACACGCGTCATTCATTTCTTTTTTCCTTTTTCGTCGACGTTTTTCTTTTCAAATAAACTTACGTTTTTCAACACCCTTTCAAAGCGTCGAAACCAGAGTTCAGGGCATACTTTATATTACTGAGCCAAATTAACAGCTTACAAATTTTCTTTGTTATTAGAAAGGCAGTAAGATTTTTACTAACAAAGCAAAGTTGTTTAATCACGTAAGCCACAGAAAATTAAACCTTACTGTTCTGCCGTAACGCCGCCGCAGGTGATAACTCTAAATTTTCGTGGTTAATTGAGGCCACCAAACATCTCAAGTACGGAAGCCTTTCTCGATGATCTTATTCCTAGATAACTCCCTCTATAGGGAATCAATCTGGTGCATTGACATTATTTGTTATTACTTGAGCATGGTTTGTTGTATAAATTTCGTTTTCCGGTATTTTCACGCACGGTTTACCGATTAAATGAAGTGTACCTACCTAACTTTACAAGCTGAAAACTACTGATATCTTCATTAAACTTTTATTCACGTACTTGTAATTGTTCTACAATTACAGAAAATCTGCAACTAAATTAAAAAACAAACTCTGAACATTCTGTTTTTCTCTTGTTTGTCCTATATTTTTCCTTTTCAGAGTTATTACATCTGTTCACGGTCCGTGTGTCATTCGTCCATTCAATTTTCGTTTAAAATCAAAAATTGAAATTGATGTCAATTTTTGATTTTCTTTATTTTTTATCATAAAAAATACGAAAGTGCCAAATTGACAGCTTTTGACTTTTTTTTCCCTCAGCGCCCTCTCCCCATAGCTAGGTCGGTTTCCTTGCTTAAGGGGTGTGGGAAGGAAGTGAGAGTTTCACTGTCCCTTCGCGGTCTTTCACGACGTTTTGGAGCGTCCTCCTCAGTTCTGTCCATTATAGCGAGCAGCCAGACTTTGGACGTTAGCTAAGAAGTTAAAAAGATCTTAGACTTCGTATTGGAGCATATTGAAGCGGGTGATGTAGTCATATCGACTTTTCAGACACCATACTGTAAAACATGGTTGGAATGAAGGTGAGGGAGAGGGAGGGGGTAAATTTCTGATACCAACCCCTCCCCCACCCCCTCCCCAATGGCCCGCTTGGAGTCTGCGAAGGAAATGAAAGTTTCGCGCTCTTTTGGACTGTCTATTCGCCGAGATTATGGCAAGCAATAAAACCTCTGATTTGACGAGAGACGGAAAAGTGTTTAAATTACGAATAGCAGCGGGGGATATGACAGTTTCGAGGCTTTCTCGAGTTTTTCAGGCAATACACATTGTATTTACATTTGGAGTCTTGCAAAATCGCCCGATGACATGTCTGCAAGATTAAGAAATCTTAAACAAAATTTCGATCGTGTTTAACTGTGGTTACCCTGCCAGCAGTTGTGTTGGGGGTGAAAACTTCAACACTGAAAACAGCAAACGAGGAAAATTGCATTTCTCAGGTGGAAACGAATTCGTTGTACTTAAGGAAGGAGTTTGGAGACATGACGTACTGGCCGACTGACTCAGAACGATTTAATGTCTTGCATTTAGACGATGGATCTTCTCTTCTTGTCATGGTGGAAGATTTGACGAATTCGCCATCAAACATCCCACAGATAGCTGAACAACATACAGGGCAATTAAGTCATTTGTTAACTTATGGTGGCTCTCTTACTGGCTCTCATGCAATCGAGTTTTTCAAGGCCACCACTTTTTGGTAATGCAAGATGAAAAGGTGGCGCTCTTTTTAAGATTATTCCTGCAGAAATAACACACAAGAATGTGAAGGGATCTCCTACGCTCCAAGAAGTAGTGGCAAATATATTTTGGAAGAAACCGCTAATGTGATTTACGTTCAGTCCAAGGCAAGAGATACATTCAACGATTCATCGCTAGAGTTGGTGATCACGCTTGAACAAACACCGAAAACTGATTGAGCCGCTCACTACGCTTTGTGAGAAGGTGAATCGCCGCAATAAAACATGTTGACCAAAATAAATATTCTGATGCTGTTGCGTACGCACTCAATGTTTAATTCCTTTCAGTACTGTTAACAAATCATGGTGAGTGTTGAAGACGTGTGTTGACTGCTCATTTCTTATTGACAGCCCGGGAAAAAACGAGCCTTGACAAAAGCCTACAAATTCACGCTAAAAGCTGAAAAATTATTTTGAACCCTGAAGGGTGCTCATATAGACGGCTATACAAACAAGGAAATCAAGGTAGAAAAAAGAAGAAAATAGCGAACAACAAGCACTAAAGTCTAATAAACTTATACTTACCCGAGCAACGACGTCCCGCGTGCACTGCTCAAGCTCGTCATTTGACAAGCGATTGTGTAAATTTATCCCATTCTCAAAACAAAACCTCCTAACTGACCTCGAACTAAAGCCTTTCTTGTCGGGAAATCTTTCTTTTAGCAATAAGCTCACCTCGGAGTGTGTTTTTCTTTGAGTTATTACAAGATCCTTTATGTACTCAGTACTGAAGTCGTTCATGTTGGAAAAGTGACTGCGCGGTAATACGAATGTCCCGCTTCTTCCTTTCCAGAGAAGCGTAGCGTGGGAGGGGAGGGAGGGGGGCAGGGGCAAAAAAAAAAAAATTCGCATGTGGGGAAGGGGATCTAAGGGGAGGGCGCTTGGGGCGCGAATTACCGTGCGAATGGATCCCTCCCCCACCCTCTTGGGTAGTTCTGTCAACGATTTTGAATGTTTTGGCCGAGAAACAAAAATTGTAAATTGATTGCAATTTTCAATTTTCAATTTTTAGACTTCCGCCGAAAACAGAAAAACTAAGCCATGCCACAGACTGCAACATTGTCGGAAAAGCAACATGGTATCATTTTTCTCTTTATTGTTGACAGGATTAAAGTAAAAATATAAGTTATGTTTCAATATTCTATCAAAAGGAAAAAAGTCCAAAATTTTTGATTCGGCACTTTCGTATTTTTTATGATAAAAAATAACGAAAATCAAAAATTGACATCAATTTTTTCTTTTTGATTTTAAACGAAAATTGAATGGACGAATGACACACGGACCGTTCACGCATTAATGCAAACATATCTCATCAAAAAAAGCGTCGTAAGCACAGTTATAGTTTTACTTTGCACGTATGGTTTTTTCAATGGAAAATTGATCATCCTTTCTCAGTAATCGTTAATTGCATTCGTGTCATTTGGACGAAAATTACTTTTCAGGCGATTGTACGTATCTCCGATAAGCACAGCGCTCTATTTCCTGTCAAAGTAATTCAAAATTTTTTTTTTTTGAAACATCAAATGATTCCACTGAGTTGTGTTTCAAACAGTAAGGCGTCGTAAATACTTCTGTAAATCAGGTGAATGCTATTAAACAACGGATCACTATGAGTTACTCATACAGAAGAGAAGTAATTTCGTACCTATGTACAAGCTACCGCCATACTTTGTTAATCTCACTGAGAACCAAATATTGTTAAGATAAGCTAGTTAAGGGCAACGGGATCTCTTGAAAATGAATCTTAAGTAGGAGAGCAATTATCAACGCTATCTATTTAATCGAGAAAATATACTTTCGCACGCACTTTTCATCGCTGAGAATCACTTTGATAGAACGCTTTGGTAATGTCCAAGTGGTAACTTTACGACCTAAAAAAAAAGTTTAAATAACTAAAGACTGTCCATACTACATGGCAAGCAGTATTTAACAATCTTTTCGAACCGCCAAGGGACAACCATAACTTTACCCTTTCTAGAAAGCTTACAAAACATAAAATTAAGTAGTTATCAGGGAAACGTTGATGGGTACAAGCTGCAAGGCGTCTTTCTTCGTCTTTGTTTTGGCTCAAAGATCGAGAGAGTCTTTTGTTCTTTTAAGCTCGCTCGATCAATTATTGATCGATAGGATGCTCAATTATCGACGTTTTTGCTATGGGCTTAATGCTTATTAGAGTCAAAAACCCAATACTGTTTATATTTGTCGACATTTTTATTGAAATCCGACGGAGATAAATAACTTCCACGCCTGCGCAGTAACGGGGAAATCACCAGGAGGTAAGGAGTGGCATATCATCAACAAACTTATTTGAAAGTCCTAAGGCGTTAATTTGTTGTTTATATAAAATTCTAGTATGAAAATGCATTTAAAAAAGCGCTGTAAGAGAGGTGTAATAGCCATTCAATCACATTTGTAGGAGCTTTCAGACTCCGCGTGGCTCTCTGCCTACAAAATTCATCGAGAGGGAATCGGTTACGCTTTAAAAGAACAGATGGCTTCACGTTCTCACAACAATACTTCCAGTTCGCTAAACGCAACTAATTTAGAGGAACTGAGCATCTGTCAATTAAACATTGATCTGGCAGAAAGGATTTGTTATGCTTTTCTCTCTCTCGCATGTGGTATTCTTGCAGTTGGAGGGAACTTGGCCTTACTTGTAGCTCTCAACCGCACGTCAATGGTTGGCCCCCGTGTCAATGACTATTTCATTGGTTCACTTGCATTCGCTGACTTCATGATCGGTCTTACCATGACACCACTGTATGCTTGCTACGTCCTGGTTTCTGTTGATTTGTGGGTTGTAAAGCTCGAATCCTTTCTTTGGGTCGTGACAGTTACAGCCACCACGTACAGCTTGATCGCAGTAAGTATCGACAGGCTGATTTCAGTCGTATATCCTCTACGTTATCATCAATTGATGACTGACAAACGTTGCCGTCTCGCCATCGTCTTGATTTGGTTTGGATCCCTTATTTTTGGATTTCCAAGGCTTGTTATTGATGACTATAAAAAGTTAAGAAGGCTCTGGATCTCTTGTTCTGTTACCACAGTAGCCATTCCTTTGATAATATTGTGCTTGTGCTACGGTAAAATCTTTTGTGTTGTACACAAACAGAATCGAGCTTTAGCCCCCTCCAGGTTGTCGACAGCAGGTGTTAGAAATAAGAAGGCCGTTAAGACAATTGGAATAATTGTCAGTATGTTTATCGTAACATTTACTCCAAGCGCTGTTGTGTATTTTTTGCTTTTATTCGAAAATGATTTTTGCCAGCAGACGATACTGAATCATGCGTGGATTTGGGTGGCATTTGTATCATTCACCCATTCTGCTTTCAATCCTTGGGTTTATGGACTTCGATATGAAGAAATGCGAAACTCTTTAAGGCACTCTTTCGTGAATAGTCATATTTAGCTAACAATCATGGACTATAGTTCTGTTTGTTTTTGTATGCAAATAGATTATAAAGTAATTATAATGATTGTTGTGTTGCATCGCCAAAGATGTCCATTTGCACTGAGATGCTAATGAAAATTATAAACCCATCTATATCAAATATTATCTTAGCATGAAGACATAACTGTTACCATGATCTGATAAATACTGTTCTATCAAAAAATGGTTTTTTTTTCTGGCACAAATTGAAATGAACGAGATCATTACAAGTTGTTCCTTAATTAAGAATTGCAAAATCTATTTTGTTTCATTTTAATAAACGTTTGGCAGACTTCCAGCAGTGTCCTCGTTAAACACCTGTCACTTACATTAGAAGAGAATTCGGTTTCATCAACTGAGCTAGTTTTTCATGAACAGAAATAGAAAGTGAACTATTTTAGGTAAAGAAAAGGAAGCCGTGTTTCCCTTATCTCGAACTTGATGTTACGTAATTTTCACGTTTAAGAGGATTTTCCTTGTCTCAACATAAACTCTAAGATTATCAAGTACGATGACTGTAATAATAATGAGTTTAGTCAATATATAGTTGATCGTTGAATAAAAGACGGAATATAGAAAGCAGCGAAGAGTCAGTGTCCACCGACTGAGCCATGACATGAATACACACAATTCTCCTGATCTGGTATGAAAATTTTATCTGGTGGCTGACGGACACTTACGTGCTTTGCAATGCGATAAATGGAATGAAGAAACTTAACTACGATTTAATTATGGTGACTTTCCATGTTTTATTTGGAAAATGCCTTGCGGAAGACGTCTTAACACAAGTAAGTCTTTTCCTCATTAGACTACACCCTCTTAATATCCGGTATTGAAATAAACTTTTCTCCCCAGCAGGATTTAGTTTAAAGTTAGATAAATCAATAAGGAGTTTTACATCATATCCATTTGTCATTAACAAGCTGGCAGCACCTTAATCAAAATGTTTTCAGTTATGCTAAGGATATTGCTGAACAATGGAAAAAAAAAACAATTCTGCGAGTATATTTACTCAGTATATTTACTGTCGCCGATCATTACAAATGAAATGAAGTTGTCATCATAAGGTGTTTCTAATATTCGGAATCGCTTGAACCTTTTTGAAGAAATTCGGTGAAAATTTCTGACTACTGGGCATTTCTTTTAGGACCGTGCCTTGCTATGGAACAATTAGTGACAGCTTATTTAATTTCCCTTATGCAGTCATCACCATCTAAACAAATCAAGAGTACCAACATGACAGTCTCTTTCCAAGAGTGTTTTCAAAAACTGTTTCGGTTGAGTAGGTACATAATTGATATAGCCGTAAACCCAGTGGGAGCCGCAAGGAAAAGTGGTGTCAAATTACTTATAGGCAAGATGTGATCATGAAATATTCAAGAATGTAAGACAATCTAAACACATACATCAATTTCTCGTAGGAAAGTAAAGCTTTCTAGCTGAGGGGTACACATTTGTTCCTCAAGAATCTAAGTCAGATTTTGAAAAAAGTATTTTTATTTACAAACCAGTATTGTTCGAAAACTGCACTTCCCTGTGGCTGACATGTAGACAGTTTGAAAGCATTGGCGTCAATCTTCGAAAATAACACAAGGTTCAGATGCGGCGGAAACATCGGTTATGAATGACAGTCTTTCCCAGGACTCCTCTATTGCTGACCGCACGTAATGATAGAAACTAGCTTATTTTTATTCACCAAAAAGCCTTGCACTTTTTGCCAAACAATTTTTTAAAATCTTTTCGTAACTCTCCATGTCTGAATCCATAAACCCACGGATTGAAAGCAGAGTGGTAGAACGATACCAGCGCGACCCACAGCCATGAGTTGTTGAGTTCATACTCCGTGCAGACATCATCCTCAAATAGAAGCAAAAAATAAACAACAGCGCTCGGCGTGAAAGTCACAATAAAGAGACAAACTATTATTCCGATGGTTACTGCAGCCTTTTTGTTGACCAAACCTTCCCTTGGGGCATTAGGATTGTTGATGATATCGCCATTTTTTTCTCTAACGATGGTAAAAATTCTCCCGTAGCTATAGCACATGATGAGCAAGGGAACTGCAACAGTTGCAATAGAGCAAGCAATCCATAACTTTTCTAGTTTTCGGAAGTCATTAATGAATAGTCTTGGTGAACCAAATATGACAGATCCCAACCAAATGAGTAAGATGATCACAGTGCAACGTTTCCTAGTTATAATCTGATGATAGCGCAGTGGATAAATAACAGATATCAGCCGGTCAATGCTCACAGCACTTAAGCTATGCGTCGTGGCCGAAGTTGTCACAATCCAAAGAAAGCCTTCGAGCTTGACGAGCCATCGCGGTTCAAAAGCGACCCCATAGCATATGTATAACGGTATAATCGTTAATCCTATCATCAGATCAGCCACAGCCAACGAGACAACAAAAGTGTTATTCATTTTTTCCCGGACCGTTCCACAATAACGAAAAATCACCAGAAGTGTCAAATTTCCTCCTATGGCCAGAAGTCCACAGATGGAGCAAAGGAAGACGAAGATGATCGACTGAAGCTTGCCCAAGCCATAGAAACATTTCTTGGACCCGCAGTCTTGACAATGATCATCCAGTCCATCCATGTCCGTTGACTTGTTTGTGTGAGAGAAAAATTAAGGTTTAGCTATCTTAGACTAAAATTCGCAGTTGCAGCGAACCATTAGTTTAATAAACAAAAAACGCCTACGATTCCAAAAAACTTTCCCAACGATTGTCAATATTCCAACAGCAACACGATCCCAAATGCCACTTATCTGTCTAGTAACATATTAAAGCTCAATTATTTCAGCATCCTTAAAAAAAGTTATTAAAAATTGGAAATGAAAAACAATAATTTCGGTTGCAGCTGATAAAACAAAGCTGCACCTCTACAATTTCGTTCAATTTCCCAAGTTCCAAGGCAGCGAGGTAAACATTTTAGATTTATTAACACTCCACACCAGTCAATTTATTCGCGTACGAATGCGTGAAACTGGCTGCCTAAATTTAGAGGTAGCCAAGAACTGACAATTTTGTAATTTAATAGATCTGGACCTTGATGCGAAGTCAAATTGAATGAATCAATGTAAAGTAAACTTCTGTGTCATAAAGAAAACACGATTTATTTTAGTTATGTTCAGTTGTTTACAAAAGACATTTGAAAAAAGAGTGAATCGTCATCATGTTTCATTACGTCCAAATTCTAACGGCGCTAACAAAGTAATATTCCACGCAGCTCTCCCAATTACAAACTAAAAGGGCATCCGATGGCATTTCATGAGCTCTGCTCGAGGTCTGTTTTAAAGGACGCAAAGTGATTGCAGCCAATGTGAGCATCATTATTCGCAATTTTTTGAACCGATGACTCCCCCGCGGTTTCTGACTTTGGCCAAGGTTCCGCTGTACATGAAAAGACACGAATTCACCAAAGTTCATCGTTCCTCGAGATTTCCAAGCAGTCGAAGAAAACGTTCACGACACGATCAATTTTATCAAGGTTATTACAGACGTAAATAATGACAAATATTACTGTGTGGGGGAAGTCCCATATTTTGCGCTCAGCATATCTGAGTTTTAGCTTCCTCACACCCAGGTTCCTGAGGGTTATAATCACTGCGGAAAAGACACAAGTAGGGAGGGAAGAAGAAAAAATTAAATGTATATCATAAGAGGAAGTGCCACGAGAAACACGGAAACAAAATGAGAGACAAAGGTGACGTTAACCCCTTACACCATAAAATCAGTATGCATTTTCTCCACACTGTTTTCTATACATTTTCTAAAGTGCTGACAAGGAGAATTTGTTTAACAATCAAGAGCTTCTTCAGTTGACGATCATTTCTTTAATTCTCATGACCTTGATGTGTGATTCAGTGGGGATACTGTAAGGAGAAATTAGATGCTAATCACTCTTAGGGGTTAAATGGTTAATGGTGAAGCGTCAACGGATGTAAATGATGCAAGATTTCTAAGGAATACACCATAACCAAACGCAAAACGACAGTCCAAATGGAGAGTTGTAATGAGCGCAAAATAAGATATTCTTGACAAATGGCAAATTTACAGTTTATCATTGTAGCCTGCGAAACATTTCCCTGAATGCGCTAAACATGCTAGCAGCTCCATCAAGAACATGCAACTTCATCATTTACAAATAAAAACTATTTTTTTAATTCTTCATTTTCTTGCTATCTTTCACTTTTAAGTTACGGCAACTTATTGGCAAAGGAAACACCAGACACGACAACAAAATGTTTCCTCATTCCACCACTGGCTCGATACAATGATGTTGGAAAGCAAATTGTTTCGCTCCTTTTTTTCCTGCTCATGTCCAAAGGAAATGTATAAAAATAGACTCGTGACCTTTCTCTTTTACAAACGTAACTATGCCCATCCTTACATACAAAACTCAGCAAAACATTGGGAAAATGTCTTTTCCCCACCAAAAAGTTCTTACAGTCGACAACCCTTAACCTTCAATCCCTTTGGTTATCGGCGAGAACTAAACTGCAAAATTAACGACAACTCTGCTGTTCTACTGGCCGAGAGCTTATTACAACAATTTAAATGTGCTTGCGAACATACTTCCAACGGTAACAGCGATGATTTACGTCCATTTAAAGGGAACATTATTTAAAATCGCATCATCAGATCATTCGCTTCCTCTTCAAGCCGATCGGAGAGGTTTCATATCCGTTTTGTGAACGGCATTTATCTCTAAAGAGCTGAGAGGTGACCCTTAGCGCCCGACTTTGGTTCCGATATGGTGGATGCTTCCTGATTTCAGGTCATGTGAACGGATTCCACTCTAATGTTTAGGAGTCTCCTAAGATTGTAGTTTATAGGTACAAGTTCCGCCATCGCCTCATGGGTGCTGCTATCCGCTGGGGTATGTTTTGGCACAACACAAAGGGGTCTGTCGGCAATTTCTGCCATAAACTGGGACCAGGGCATTTCTCGTATGTCTAATCTTTTCGCCTTTTTAATCAGAGCCCCTCGGCTTATTCCAAGATGCTCCAAGACATCAGATAGGAGGAAGTAATTTCTTCGCCTAGCAGGAAGCAGAACAGATGGACGAAACGAATCAGAGATACACGTAAATCACGTGTTTAAGTGTATGACGACATGAATTACCCCGGAGTCTCCCAGTATATACATGAAGTAAGGTTATGGAGGGTTAGTGCTAACCACTACATAAATTCTCCGTGAACTCGCCCAGAGTTCGGGGTATTTCATATCGAGAAAATCTCTTTGCTCATTGGTTTGTTTCCGTTGTTTTAGACTTCTCTTTCATTTGGCAAATTATCCGGGGCCATCCTTTTCTGGTTTATTCAATGGGCCAAACATTTGTGCAACAAACTGCACCGTAATCATCCATGCACTGATAGCCCTGGATAAATGCAATAATATCCTTGACAAAGTTCAAGCAATTGTCGTATAAAAACAACTATTTCTAAAGTTCTAAATTCTAAAAAAAGAGGAAGAAAAAGTGAAAGAAAAAGACCAGAGTTTCTCAAAAACAAGTGCCTCCTTACCCAGAAGTTAATTCATCATTCACCATAACTGGCAGATTGTAGGTTGGAAGGTGAGGTCTGTCACTTAATTCAAACTCTCCATCCGGGACAGTTTCAATCTTAGGAACTCCCTCAAATATTCCAGACATGTGATCCAGTGACTCATCTAATATTAGTAAAAATAATAATAAACACAAGCTTTAATCATAAGTGCAAAATTTAAATCAAGGACATCATAACTATTATTAAATGTAAGCACGTACTTTACGTAACAATAAACATGAAAAATTTACGGGCGTCTGGTTGGCTGAAAACGAGTGCATTTTCATGTAATACGATTGCAAAGTTGTAACACGAGTGAAAATTACAATTAGCGAGCGCTGTCAAAATTTAATCATTAATAAATAACAAAATGATTTCTCGTGACATTTGGTGTAAATAAGCACTTGTAAATTTTTCAAAGACTAAAAATTTCACTCGCCTTACGGGCGAGTGCAATTTGTAACCACGAGAGTTTACATGAGAGTTAACCCTTTAACTCTCATGTGTGACCAAGACAGCCGGAATTTCTCCTTACAACATCAATACAAAATCAAGGAGACAAGAGATGGGAATAAAGAAAATATCCATCAAGGGATTATTAATTGATCCTATACCAAATTCTCCAAACCCACATCATATGAATCGTATGACAGAGAGTAAAGAGAATTACTAAAGAGTTCTTGACCACACCAAAAGCAAAATCTATGTCCATTTCAGAAATAAGGACACAATTCTGTGACATATTGACCCGTTTAAAGCGATGCCAAACCAGCCAAGAACGATTAAGCCACATTCAGGCTCGACCACGACTATTGGTTAACCCCTGGATGGCCATCAAGTTTGGTGAGAAATTCACTTCTAAGCCAATTACTATACAATGCAGTTCAGTTAAAAAGTTAGTTCCATCACTTCAATCCTCACTTACCCATGACAGCACATGATCCATCAAATTCCCAGCATCCCTACACGAGCCAAAAAAAAAAACCAAAAAAACAGGAAAAAAAACACGTCAAGCAAGCACCAAGCAATCAAAGCAAAGAACTCAACTTCACTCGATATATAATTGGAAGAAAAACTCAGTTGTAGTCACTTTTAGTCACCTCAGTTTCTGTTGCAGTCATCGGAGGGTTCTTCAAATCAACATCCTCGAGAAAACCTGACGAAGAAAATAAAACACGATGAGTTAAGCGTAAAGTTATTGATCATAAAGTCAATTCAGCAATGAAACTAAAAGGTATAAACCGTGATCATAACTCACTACAAAAGAAAATGTCAGACGATGTACATTTTGAAAAAAGGAGGAAACTCTCTACCTGTAATCTAAGATTCCTCTTCTACTGTTTTGTTACCAAATTTTATTCAAGCACCCGTAAATCACGTGTTTCCCTAACATCCAAGGTTCACCTCGACCAATGAGCACAAAAGAATTGCAACGCATTTTCAGAAACAATCACTCAATCAATGGGTCCTTCAGTCAGTCAAGGTGTCAATAAGCCGGTCAATCGATCAGACGAAGTTGATAAATCGAAAAAGATATTTGGGTCACGTGCCCCCTCACCTTCTAGGAAAGCCCTGGTGTTGGAGTCTTTAGTGCAAGTAAGGGCGCTGTTCCCGGAGTACGTTGCAAGCTTTGGGTCTGCACCGTACGATAACAAAACCCTAAGCACATCCACGTAACCTCCTTCTGCCGCGTCATGAATGGGCCTAACGACCAGGTGTAAACATACGAATAAAAAAGTAAATAAAAGAGAAAGCGAACGAGTAAGCACGCGTTAGTGAGTGAAGGACCGCTAGATTATGTGACTAAGAGTGAGTTAGGGTGTGTGTGCGTGCGTGCGTGCGTGCGTGCGTGAATGACTGACTGAAAATTGAGTGCGTGGACGCATGAACGAGTAAGAGCAAGCGTGCACGAGCGAGCAGATGAGCGATAATTGTTCAATAAAAAGAGGAAACGTTAAACTCACCGAATGCCATCATTAGAGCAGGCGTTTACATCAGCACCGTACTTGGCAAGCACCTTGACGACATCAACTTTGCCTCTAGAGCAAGCCTCGTGTAACGGCGTCCAGCCAGCGTTGTCTTTGGCGTTCGGGTCGACACCTTGATGGATATGGTGATGAACCGTTTCCTGGTAAATATTAAAAGCACGATGGATTCATTGTGTCGCTCCGTATTAGTCGTGATATTTTACAGACGTCTTTGGCTATTTCTATTTCCACACCTCTGCGTGAGAGCAGCTGTTTCTTATTTTTCCTTAGAAATTTTGGGCGGGAAATTGGCGCAAAGTCAACCGAGATTGATCTTCTTGCGCATGCTCAACGTATGACCGCTGATCAAAGAAAGAAGTACAATAGTCAAAGGCATTCTTGGTACTCACGTGGTATCCTAATCGAGCTGCTTTGTGCAATATGGTTTCCCCTGTGTTGCGATTCACATTCAACTTCTTGGCCTCTACAAGAAACATCCAGAAGTGGTCACCACAAGAGATACACACGTAATCTCTGATTATCGTTCCCACTTTGAATGGGGCTAAGAAATGGGAGGCCATTACAGAGATAATTATTCGCAATTTCCGTCCTGCAGAACTGAAAAGCTAGTCGAGGCGGAGGGTGTTCATGATGCTTTATTTCTAACAAAAACAACAAACTACTAAAACTTCTTGTAAACTGCGGAAAGCACATACCTCTCAAGGTATCATCATCACTGGTTTTCTACGAGAGGACAGAAGAAAGCTTGTCAAAGACCTGCCGGTGATGTCTACATCGGTCATATATGATACAGGAACAAATAATAGAGAAATAATAGATATACTCACTAAAATCTTAGCAAAAGATGAAACTATCTTCGAAGTTCTTTCAAGGATAAATCGAACTTTCATTTATAGAGAACAGCAGGCAAAACTGCACACGGAACAAGACCCAGACCAAAACAAATTTCGATTCCAAGCGTATCAACAAACGATTACTCATTGGGGCTATTTCAAGTGATCATCTCTGAATTTATCAACATATCGACAACTGCATTATATCCGATTTCCTAAAACAGAATTACCTCTTCGACAGAGTCATCCAACTCCCACTTTCCGCGTGCTTTTAGAGAATTCTCTACAAGTTGTTGGACCTCCTCATTCTCAGCGATGATACTTTTTCTGATAGGTTTCGAGTTGACACTTTCAACCACCAGCAGAGGGAACTCAGACGTCTTTGTGGTACTCTTATCATTGTCTGGTTGGCCTTCTAAAAAAGCGGTATTTAAGAAACTGAGTGAATTTTCATCTACTGAAAAATAATTTATTAGCATCACAATTCACTACGAATATTTACAGTTATTGGCAGGTAAGCAGAAAGTACCTTTGTTAAATATCATAAGGATTTCATAGTTTTTGGCTGGACTGTCTGAAAGTAATTGTTTAACCCGAACATAAATAGGAAATTGCAGCAAATTTCGTGCAACTTTGACGTAATTTTGATTTGCTTTGTGTTTAGTTTAGTTTTTTTTCCTTTTGTTAAATAATTTATCCTGTGGTAAACGCCAAAAAAGAATGGGTAAAAACGTAAGGACCACAAAAATTTAGCTTTTTCTCGGTTAACCCTTTAGCCCCTGAGAGTGACTGGCATCTAATTTCTCCTTACTATATCACCACTGAATCAAACATGAAAGTTATGAGAATAGGGGAGATGATCACCAACTAAAGCAACTCTTGACTGTTAGACAAATTCTCCTTGTCAGCCTCTTTGGAAATGTATAGAGAACAGTATGGAGAATATGCATACTGATGTTAGGGTGTAAAGGGTTAAACACACTTTGATAATCCTTATTCATTCCAAACGATCCTCGCTCACTTTTTTTATTATTATTTCTTCCTCTTTGGAGTTTGTCTTCCTTGGTGAACTATTTACTCTTTCGAGGTTTCTTTTTGATAAACAAACTTTGGATCAATATCAGTATCTGGGCAACTGCCCACCTACCCCTCCCCTAACTCAACAACAGTCAATTGATAGCAAGTTAGGGTTAATGTTGGGTTAGGGGAGGGGTAGGTGGGCACTTGCCCAGATACTGATATTGATCCCAAACTTTTTCCACAACCTCCTTCCCTTTTTTCTCACCTAAGAAGAAATGAGTAACACCTTTCGAATTCGCCTTAACATAACCTTGACCCTCATCAATGCCTTGCCTCGTCACTTACCACCATCCGTCTGCTTGGACTTTCCACGCGTCCGAGATTCGAGAACCACTGGCTTGAAATCCTGTTCAAGAAAAGAATGATTAGGCAGCATGCACTATGCCTCACACATGTCTCTTGCACATTACAGCGCACGAGGGTACATTTCTACCCGTGCCAACAGTACATGAAGGAATTGGCTAACGTTACGGAACAAATGACAGTTTTAAGAGAAAAATTGTTCCTTGTGAATGTAAAGTAAAGAAGTGAAAGATGTTTTGGATGAGTTAACAAAAAACTTAGGGTTGATCCTAGACGTTTTGAACAATGTCGCCCTTTTGATTTCCACGGATCGTGTACGCACAAATTTGAGTTACTAAGAAAACAGCGTTTTTTAGAGCAAAATAGAATGTTGAAAAGCAGAAGTTAACGTACCCTAAAACCTTGATACGCCGTGACCAACATGTACGTCTTGGTAACACGGTGAGTTCGGTCAGTTTTAGCTAAGAATAACAATAAAAATAAATCATTATTTTGTCACAAGCAAATGGGTTTTACGCTCATAGATGAAATATATGACTGTCGTTTGTCCGTCCTTGAAATAAAAATCGATAAATTAAACAGAAGAGTGCTCTATGCTATGATAAATCTTAAACGTTTCCTTTCCCTACGCAAACAGATGTCAATAATTCCACCATACATATAATCTTTAAGTATCATATGGAGCATAGAGAGATTCTTTAAGTCACAGGAAGCATCCGCCTGTACCGCCTGTACCGCCTGTACCGCCTGTACCGCCTGTACCGCCTGTACCCTTAACCCTTGAACTCCCAAGATCTCATTGGTAATTCTCCTTACTGTCTGCTATACAATTCTTCTGATGTTACTTCTGAGAATTTGGTATTGGATCAACTAATAATCCCCTAATTGATAATTGTCTTGGTTCTCATCACTTGTATCTTGAATTTGTATTGATATTGTAAGGAGAAATTCTGTCTTGGTCACTCATGGGAGTTAGAGCGTTACTACAGCAATCTTTCTTTTCAAGATCTCATCTGACATGAAGCTAAAACTTACCGTTTTTGTCCACAACAACTTCCTGAGAAGGAAAAAAGGAAAACAAAAAATTAGGAGAAAGTGTGAAATTTTACAACAAAAAAACTAAAGGAAAACTTCCAGTGGTCCCTGAGGACGACATCAAATCTCTTTCGTGTGAAGTTTTGGTTTTCTTTCGTTCAAATACAGTGACAGCGTGAAAAAAGAACGTCATCTTTCAAAAGAATACAAAAAGATTAAAGAGAAGACCTTAAGCGTTATAAGGAGACTTTCCTTCCTTTCCAAAACACTAAGGATAACCTAAACACGCTAGAAAGATAAAAAGGGGCCAGAGGCATGTAAAAATAAAAGTTTGTTTGATTGGGATTATAATAAAAGAAATAAATCCATCTGCAATTTCATCTATGAAAAGAAGAATGGTCACAAGTGTTCTGTTGATCCGAAACTACATCAACTGACCTGCTTGTTCACTCGCAGCGGCTCTATCTCTACTTTCGCACGTTTAACAGCTTTTTTCCCCATTTCAACGGGGGTTGAGGGTCTTTTGCATAAATGTTTTTCTGGAACGTTCTCCTTTTTGGTATCCTTAGGATCACAGGCTAAATGGAGGAAAAAAGAAACTATGTGAATCTAAACCATGAAACAACTACAGAAACTCAAAATCGGAGCAAGCTATACTCACTTTCGCTCGAGCTTCTTTTCAATTTCACAGGTTTGTTCTAATAAAAGAGGAAAATGGTTTAGTGAAAAGTGGGAAGTCATTTCTCAGTGTACATAATTTCACGTAAAAGGAGCAGGGAAATTGTCCAGCAACTTAGGCGACTTTTTTTAATTTGAAATTTTACGACAAACACCAGAGCAAATGAAAAGGTTGCATCCTCTGCAAGAAAATAACGAGTATTGTTCAGCTTTGCAAAACTAGTTCCCAGACCCAGAAGAAGACCTAGCGCCTGTCAAAAAACATATTAACATAACTAAGAAACTTCGGTTACATTTCGGTGTTTCGTTGGCTCCTCTGAACAGAACCACACAATATGCAAACAAAGGTGTTCCTTTCTAAAAAAACCGAAACCACAAAAAGAAAAACACGTTTCATAAGCATGAGCTATGTTTTAGCATCGTGAAAAGCAACAAAATAATTTCAATTCAATGCTAAAGATATGCATTATTTTTTGCTTTTTTTGATGTTCTCTTTTCGCTCTCAAATTTCAGTTGACAACAATTTTATCTCCAATTACAGTTATTGCGAATATCATTACATCAAATATTCTGAACGCATGTGTTTTAATTAAGATCACGAAGTTTCTTCGAACGAAACTATCGCAAGTGCCTAAACACATAGTTCTAACGTGCCTTAACGTGTCTTAACAACCAACGTGTTGATTGCTTTTCAACATGATTCGTCCGACATCGAGCGCGACCTGAATGATCAAATGATACCTTCAACTACCGGTGCATTTCGAAACTAATCCAAATATGGGCAAAGTTAGGTATACGAAGCCTTAAACCACAAATAACTCGTCATCTGGTTAGCAAGATGAATTCACAGCATTATCGACTGTCGGTTTGTTTATGTTATGAACTAAACAGAAAACATTTCCGCGAAACCTAAATGTCGAGAAACACAGCAACGCGAAAAATTTGGAAAATGGTCACAACTAGGAAAAAATGATGATTATATTTACCGTGGTTTGTTGCTTCGGTAAAACAGCTGCTTCTTGTGGGGCATCCTTTGGTTTGGGAACAAAAGCTCGTTTCTCTGCGACCAAAAAAAAGATTATCATAAAATATTAATAACATAAACGGGTAATGACTGGTCTGAGGGATTATTTACTGTCACGAAATAACGTATCACGATAATGTCACGCGCAAAAACGCAACAGGATTTGAATAAGGGCCTTACAGCTTTGATAAACATTTCAGAACTTATCGTAAACATGTAGAGCCTAAATATTCGAAACTAGAAGACAAAATCTTTAAAATCAGAGTTAAAATTCTATTTGGAGGAGTTAGAGCGGTTGTTCCTAATACAAAAAGTTGCAGTCTTGAGAAGCATGTGCTAAATTCTCCGATTTAGACCCTTTTCAGTTTTAACATTCTCGAAAGTTTTCAGTTTTGAAATTCTGGAAATTTTTTTTTATTTTTTGCCCTTTGGTCATTTAATTTTAGGTTTTTGCGAGTAAAAAGTAAAAAATTTTGGCTTTTGTAATCTGAAGAGTTTCCTTTCTCGACCGCTTTTTTGCACCTCGTTGTTAGTTATTAAATTTAGTTATACAACTTACCTCTTTCCACACGATTTCGTTTCAACTTGGGTTGCTCATCCTAATCAGAAACAAGAAATTACAGGGTCATTGGGGCATAATCACTCCACGTTCCAAAATGCCATGGAAGCATCAAACAATTGAATAGAAGCATTCTTACACTATTCTGCAATAAGCTGGTTCTCCGCTTCTTTGTGACAGTTGCTGTCTGCTTTTCACTGCTAGTCACCGCTGAATTGTCCTCTTGGCCTGAGAGGTAAAAGGCAAAGTCAGAAAAACAATGAACGTCTTATGACCCAAGACAAACGAAGAAATCGACCAATACGATACAAAAATTAACAATACCAGTCTGAATCCCAATCTGACCATTACAAACGACCTATCTGTGACCTATAAATTAAGGGGGTAAGTTTCTAAAGAAACTGTGGTGCTTCGTCGGTGGGAGAGTACAAAAGTAACTTTGAATTTCCTAACTATGCCATCATGATCAAATTCTGGCAAACATTTTACTAATAGTTGACACGACTTGGTATAATTTGTAGTAACAAAGCTTTGGCCACCATGAATAATGGAAGAAAATCAAGACTAGAAGAACATAAGAAAGGAGGAAATAGAGAAGAAACTAAAATACAAACAAATGAAAAAAAAAATTCAACCCATTCCCTAACTTGGTTTTTGATTCATCAAATCGAGTCCATTACAACATTTTGAGTCATTCTTCTTCAACGAGAGAAAAAGTAAAAATAACGGTTTAAAGTGATAAAAAAAAGAGAAAGATAGGAAGAGAAATAGAGTAGGCGTAAGACTAGGTCCAAATGGACTGCAGATGGCCCAGATGAAAATATGGGCCCATGTTATAAAAACGCACAAAACAAGAACAAGCTTCTTCAATTCGCACTCTTAGCCAAATAAGTTACCTGTAGACTTCACCATTATACTTCTCCTCTGAGAAAACCAAAGCCGCTGCAAAGCAAGTTGGAAATAAATAAGTATATAAAACACAAATCTGATTCCGAATTTAAGGGGGGGGTTAAATTGTACCAGGCCAAAATATGCACCTGCGATTAACTTTTGTTCCCCATGATTCCCAGTTAAAATGTCCACTATGACAAAGAGGTTTTTTCTACTTACTCTCCGCTTAAATTTCTTTATCCACACCTTTGTTGCTACAAAATGGAAAGAAAGGAATTAATTATACCTTAAAAACCAGTAAAGCGTACATACAGAGGAACAAGTACACACAAGACCGAATTTGATTACCACTAAAAAAAAAAAAAAAAAAAATTTATACAAATAAACTCATCCCTACCGTTCGCTACAAAGATTCCGTACAACCACAGTGCGATGCACTACACTACATTTCACAAAATTCCAATAATTCATTTCAACTATACCACTTTAGGTTGGCAAATATACAGCGATGTTAAGATATAAAATTTTCCCTAGGTGGTTGGTTTCGTTTGGATAAAAGTGTACTCGACAGATAAAAATAACAGAAAAAGAATAAGTTGGAGCCTAATGAAAATTCTACCTGTTTGTTTCTTTCCATCATTTGGTAAAGTTGATTTTTCCTAGTATAAACAAAATCAAATCAAACAGAATTAAATACACAAAGAAAATTTTCTGTTCCATTAAACTACAAAAGGAGGAAGGTTTTTCTTTAGAAAGACTTGCTTAAGGTTTGATAACATGTGTGTATTACACTAAAAGTAAATTAATGTAAACATCAAACACAAATTATTGATGAGCTAGAGCTCAGTAGGAAGCATCGAAACCCATCGAGATTTGGGATGGTGGAAAGCAGTGAATTATCACGTCTGGCGAAGGTGGCGAGACTCCAGCTGACTTTATGTCAGTCAAATAAGCCTACATGCCACCTTAAATGACGTATCAGCTGGAGAAGCGCTTGGTAGAGAGCTCTAAACTCCAGGGAGGATTTAAGTCGTGAGAAACTACACTATTAACTAAAATATGTCCTTTAGTGACAAAACTTGACTACTATTTAATGTAACGATCGGAACTAAATGTACAAGTTGTGAACAGCTTAGACAAGAAATTAAAACATTCCAGAAATATTAACCAATGAGCTAAGGAGGTCAAGAAACATCTTGAGAGCCAACTGGAGTAAGCTCCAATGCTTCAGTTCAGTGAGAAACAAAGCCACGGTACACGGAACAAATAAAAAATATCTATCATAAGTAATTAAAGGCTCCACTTTTCTTTTCTTACTATTTTTTAATTTTAATGTCATGATTATTTCTCTCCCACCTTTTGGACAAAAATTGATTAAAAACCATCCTGTTTGGATATCTACCTCGAAATGTACCTACCCTTCGTAACCAAAACACGCTAGCAAGATATTATCTGTATTTTACCTAGATTATTAACACCATGATTAATAATGGTAATTGAATTGAGTGGTGTGCAATTAGGGCTGAAATCATACGCGAGGTTCAATTACCACGTTACTACATCCATTTTGAAATCGCCTAAATACAGAATTTGGTCAGTTCAATTATTTTATTGATGCAGTACTGAGTCGGTTTGAAATTAAATTCATCCCTTTTTTGGAGGAAAAAAATTACACTTTTGGAAACAAAACTTGCAAAATTTGCCACGATACTCTGTCTTTCATTTTCCTGCAATTTGATTGGTTACTTTAAACAAGACTTGAAATCTGATTGGTTGTTTTTTTTTTTTAGTGTAGCCTCCTCATTGACTGAGAAAAAAATGCGATTTAAAGCAAAAAATGGTGCGATTCGTGAATAAATCGCACCAGTTAGAGCCAATCAGATTAGAGGGACCACCAGTGATTTCAAAATGGGTGTAACAAAAAGGAAAACTGAACTAATTCAAGCGCGGATACAATACCTTGTGTCTTTTCCGTAGCCGCCTTTTGAATGAGTCTTTCTTCCTCATTTCTTTACATTTCTCTTTCATTTCCATTTCACTAAACTGCATCATTGCTCTTTGTAAAGCTCTTTCTTCACGAGTTAATTGGCTTGGGTCTCGGTACAAGTCCCCAACGCTGGTTTCACGGACAGGCGATGGAAGCCTGGGCTCAAGGCGGCGAATCATTGCTTTGTTTTGCTTTTTCTTGGAGTTACTTCCCTTGTCTTCACCAATGTCTTCAAGATTTTCTTCGTCTTCAATATTTTCTACGTCTTCAACGTTTCTTACGTCTTCAACATTTTCTTCTTCTTCAACATTTTCTACATCTTTAACGTTCCTTACGTCTTCGAAACTTTCTTCGTGCTCAACATTTTCTTCGTCTTCAACATTTTCTACGTCTTTAACGTTTCTTACGTCTTCGACATATTCTACGTCTTCAACGTTTTCTACACCTGTCTTATCAACGGGAGAACGCTCTTCCAGGCATTCCCCAAGGCAATTTACACTTTCTTCTACATATTCTTCCACGCATTCACTTACATTTTGTTCCCAATTTGAAGGAGGATTGTCAACACCTTTCAAATCCCCATTGCATACCACATGAGGCGAAACAATCGATTCGTCAGTATTGATTTCACAAACGTTTTCAATTTGTTGGCTGTTTGAAGAACTCCGAACCGTAATAGGTGACTCGCAGCTTAAGTACCTTTCTATGTCAGGGCTGTTTGCCGACTCACGCAAGGCACACTCGTAAGATTGATCCGCAAGCTCCTCTTCCACAGAGCCCATTCTGTTAAGACTATTTGTTCTCGGGGAGATTGAATATCCAGTTTGAGGTGGTAAAGAACGGAAATTATTCGGTGGTTGAAGCGAAACTCGCGTATGGCCAGAAATACCGGCATTGATTACACATTTACCAGGGGAAACTGGTCGAAACGTCCTCTCCGGTATATCGGGTGAAGATGTAAGTCTCTCAGGGCAAATTAAGTCTGGATGCGTTCGAATCGGTAAATTGTTTCTCTCCAAAGCAGTCACGGAAACAGGTGGAGGTATCACACCACAAGGTATTCCTGCAGGTGAAAGCAGTGGTAACACCATTACTTGTCCCTTAACAGGAGAAGTAACAGCTTGCAATTGTGGGCCCGTTGGGGATTGCAATCCGTTCGCCAATGGCTGTGAATGCACAGGTCTAATAGCTGCAATGTAGGTATTCGGGGGAGGAGTGCCAGTACCGATAAAAGGACCAATCAGATGAGTTGTTGCTATATTGGTCTGAGTTCTGTCAACGTTTACTTTTTCACTAGTAATCCCCGTGGAGTCTAAACTGATCAGGTCAGGTTTATCTACAGTACAAGGTTGAATAGCCACGGGATTCGTATTGCCGTTATATCCAGACGTAGGAACCTGATTGGGATACGTATTTTTAACACTTATCGACCCTGATGCTGGATTGACGTATTTTATCGGAGTCACTGAAGGAAATATTAAATTCGAGTCCACCTTAGTCCGCCCTGTCGGAATTATCACTTGAGTCCCAACAGGGTTAGCCTGCCCGTTTATAACACGCGCTGGGATGGCATTTGATCGCATGTTGGACGCGTTTAACTGTGGAAATTGTTGTAGGGGCCGACCGGAAGTAACAGCATCATAACCCGTTCTCAAAGGCTGCACCGCAGGAGGCATGCTACTTCCAAGTTCCTTGTTTATAGATGTTAACTGTCTGAGTTTTTCAGAAAAAGGAAACACTCTGTTTCCTTCCATAGAAGTCGTTCTTTGAATTTGCTGTTTAAAGTAGGAGGTAACCTTTACATGTTCACGGACATTACTTTCTTCCGTTGCGGTATCTACGAAGTCAAAACAGAGTAAGTGGCGTCAGTTGGAAAAAAACAAAAAAATGAAAATAGAAAAATTTAATATGCATATTCAGATTTGTCCATTAGTGCTCTTTCTGACTTAATTGATGGGCGATTGATTCAGACGTAAACAAGATGAACGAACATTGACGTTACCTCGCTTAAGACATGCAAGACAACGCTGATGTTTAGCCATTGACCACCGAAAAAGATACAATTCAAATACAGGATTTAACTCGCAACACTACTATTAACAAAGAGCTTCAACTCTTAGAGGCAAAATAGAGTGATTCCCTTCATATTTGGTTCATGAGTTAAATTAATACATGTAACTTTAGGGGTGACTGAAGTTTGCACAAGGTAACCTCATTTATATAGGAATTTTCAAACATCAATCATGGTCAGCGAGACACCATGCCGCATTGACAAATTCTAGAGTGTTCTGGTCTGTTCCCTCAAGCACAACATTCACATGTAAAAACAAAAAGGCTTGAGAGAAAACCTGTTGTAACGACTGTGCTAGAGAAACACTCGTGAGCACAAAAACCATATATACTACACGGGGCAAACTAAAATTCACATACTCGACGCCTTCTGTTTTTCTTCCACTGCTGTCGGACGAGCGTCCTTCGCCGATCCTTTCCCATTTGGTACAGTCTCGACGATGCGGTTTTGAGCGAAGGTAGCGGCAGATCGAAAGTTGTTGTTGATATGTTCGAATACAGAACGTTCATTTCTCAATTCTGACGCTGGTTCAGAGCTTTCGTTGTTGAGGGTCGTGGCAGCTGTCAGGAGACAAACAGAGTCACACAATTAATAATTGAACATTGATAAGTTACATATGAATACATTAGCGCAACCCTCACCACTCAGTTCTTGAAACGATCCTTGATTTGGTTGGTATTTCCAACCGCGGTACTGAATCCGACACTAATTTCTAAATAATCGTATCACCAATAGGAATGAAAATGATGATGGAGAAGAATTTCCTACCAACGAAACTTTACAATCTCTTCAAGTACTGTTCTAATATAGTAATTGTACCAGTAAAAAAATTCGTCGTTGATAAATTTTTCCTTATCGAGGATCTTATTCAAGTACTGTTGTGACATATTTCAGACAAGGTGACGAAATATTGAAGAAAAACTTGTCGTATGTTTTTATTCTATCTACCCTAGAAAGGAAAACATGTCGAGGGTGAACTTGTCCAAGAAAAGCCACTAATGTAAATACACCTTTAGAGTTAAAGTTGGGTGATTCTGATGACAGTTTCAAGCCCGATTTCTAAGTTTAGATTTGCATTTGACCATAGCATAAGATCAGCTCATCACACAACTACGACAAGCATGTTGGTCTGTAAATCATGCTAGGGATAAAACTCACCGATAGCTTCACACATCACTAAAACTGTCCTTCTATTATCAAACATAATTTAAAATTCTGTATGAATTTTAAAACCTGCATAATGTGCTTGGAACAGGAAACGTTTCTGACGTATACAGGGACTGTGAATAAGAACAAAACTCCGTGTACGTACCCTGTACATCATTTTTATTTGCATGAAAACAAAAATAAAATATTTTACATGTCAAAGGCTTTGTATTTACACCCCAATGTACATGTAAACAGAGGTTTTGAATACCTCGAAAATGGCCGATTGTAATCTCGCTCCTAACCTTTTAAACCCTAGAGTGACCAGCATGCAATTTCTCATAACAGTAATATTGCTGAATCATTCATTACGATCATGAGAATATAAGAAATGATCGCCAACATAAGACGCTTTGATTGTAAAATGAATTTTCCATGTCAGCATCAAAGGAAATGTATAAAGAATGCAGAATGACACGGAGAATATAGATACTGATGTTGAGGTGTATCGATCTATTTTTTTGACAATTCAGGTTTTTCTTTCCCTATGAATGCAGATCACCTCTCATAAATTCAATAATGCCTCACCTAGAGTCACGTCATGATATTCAACGTTCAGGTTTTTCCTGTCGAGGAATAAATTCAACACCAAAGGTACACAGTTAGCGTAGATAAACATGTATATGTAACCTTAAGAAGAGCGAAAAAAGAATAAAAAAGAAAAAATGGACTTTTAGAAAACTTTTGTGCGCAGAAAACACAACCACTCTTACAAGACTCTAATTACATAGAAAAGGAAAGACAGAGAGAGAGAGTTATTGCAAGAATAACCCAAGGAAGAAACAAAATAATTTGCTTTATCAGAGTTCAACCGTGTAAGTTTAAGTAAAATTTTCCTTTTAAAGAAACATACGAGAAATATCGAATAATCGTACAGATAATCATTTCACGGTAGTTAAAATAGTTCGTTACACTCGTCAAAGAATTAGTGTGACGTGAACTGCTGTGTAACGGTTGATTAAATAGTTGTGTGACAGTCTACATTCCCATCGTACCTTACAACCTGGACAGTTGATTCAGTCACGCCATTGACATCTCCCATCTGCGTAAAGAAGAAAAAATATTGTCACTGCCCTTGGCTGCGTATAGCAGAGATACGGTTCGACTTGATATCGACACTGCATTTACTGATACTTGCCGGAATTTCGCGTTGTAACACCACTTGTTCGCCGTTATAGCGAGTTTCAGCTTTTACTGCGGGGGATTGTTTTAAGTTATCCGCTAAAATCTTCACGAACTTATTTCGGTCCGCATATCTGAAAACAATCAGAAAAATAAAAAAAAATAGACAGTCAGAGACAGTATGGGCGACTGATATAGCACAATTTTTATAGCATTGAAAAGAACAAGAGGTTGTGTAATAACGCTAGAAGGTAGTGTTGCAAAGATACGGTACGACTCAGAAATAAACTTGATATTAACACCTAAAGGAGGCAGTAGCCTCAACAGTTACGAATCATTAGTCACAAGCGTGACAAAGTTTTTCACGGATAATTAACCTCAGCGGTTGTATTATCCACACATCATCAAGCAAACGTGTAATGAGAATATTAAAACTTATTGAGTAGAAGTTGTTATCTGGATCTGACACCAAATTCTCCTAACTTATTTACGATGAAATGTCGAGCTGCTATAGGGGAGAATCAATCAGGGTTAACTGAAGTCATATACTATTAAAATCCACATGCGTCTAGTATCCTTCCTTTTGCTTTTGATCGAAGGCGTCTTGTTTGCAAATTAGAAGAGAGATGGTAAATTTAAATTTGGCCATCGGAAAAACAAAGTATATCACTCATATTCCCAGAACACGTAATAAAACGAAAATCAGGAATATGTCTGCAGAATAAAAATTGAGGCTCCTGTAAAAAATGAGTAGTACATATTCTTAATTTCAGCAGTCTCTTTTTTTTTTCTCATCTTTGCTACATGAAATACTCATAATTTCTTCCTTCTATGGGCAACCAGGCCTTTCTATTAGTTAACTTTCAACTGTAAATATTACACGTTTGGCGATAAATGGTAATTCTTCGATTGTAGCATTCAGATAATTATATTCACGTTGTAGCAACGATAGTTATAAACGCTTTGATACAAGCTGCTGAAATCATAAATATGTCATTTGATAATCGAACGTGATCTCACACAGAACACTTTACGTCTTTACGTGAGACCGCTTGAGGCAAACTTATAAAAAATAATCGATCACAAAAAAAGTGTATCTAATTCAATGGCTTATCTTCCATTAGAATCAAAACACTGTCTTTTATTAAAATTACTTTAAAATGCTGACTGTTTTAACCATCTGTTGTACTAAAACATGCAAAACACACAACGCCCCAATGGTGGAATAATACACGTCAGAAAAGCATGAGGGTGTTTAATATAAAGCATTAAGTCAACCTTTCCCAATTCTTATTGCACCACAGCAATTTTTCTTCTTCGAAACAAAGTCACAGAAAAAACTCAGTTGGTTGGGACAAACTTAATATACTAATGGAGCCATTCGACTAGGTTCGATCGCGACGAAGTGTTTCGACAATTTCTTTAAAATTCGACCGTTTTCGAATTCAAAACCGTATGACGATCTTGTTCGATTGCCCACGCTGGGATTTCTCGATCAATCTTTATTTGTAAACCAAATCTTTTGCCCTGAAACAAAGATTTAAATTAAATGCAATAATTTCTTGCGGTTTCCATTCCCAGGCAGTAAAGGAATTGACAGGCAAATCTAATTACACGTACCTTTGAATGATCTTCTCTACACTATTGCCACCATTTTGAAGAGAATCATCCGGGACATCGTTGGAGCAAGATACGTCCGCGATATCGATCACTCGTGGTGCAGCGGTACCCTAAAACCCAGGGATAATAATAATCTGCTAGGCAAACCGTTCATCCTTTAGTTTCTATCTTGAGAAATAAGGTAGAGCGGCTAAACTTTAAGAATAGAGATGTGATGACCATTAAATGTAACGTCATGATTTGAGGTGTCGCGTGACAGTTCACGCAACGCTTAAAGCGTGTCATGTAAAAGCCTTTAAAATACACTGAAGTCAGAGACCAATTCTTAAATTAATTGAGAGTGTCTTGGGGTTTACCAATCTTTCTACGGAGACTGAATAACTCAAAATGATTATTAAATATTTCAACAGCTCGTATTTCAGTTACATTTGTCGTAAATCGGAATATACCATTGTTACAAGCAGATATTAGAGCTAAAAAATCCTCAAACAAACAATCCCCTCTGATTTTCACAAAACGCAGAGCAGAGTTCTGTTCCATCCAAAAAAAAACATCCCACATCTCTGCCTAGTCACAATCAATCAAAATACAACGAGAAATAAGACATTTACAGTAAAATCCAAAGTTTAAAGTTTGTCGCATTCATTTGACAAGGAGGCAAAACTTCGTTAATGACTGATGACAAAATGCAATGCCCATGGTGTTATCGAAAACAGTTTATACAGATTTTAAAGATTGGGGGAAAAAATGACAGCAGAAACACAAAAGTCACACGTCCAAAATAGAGTGACGTGTTGTGTAACAGTTCGCGAAGCCTTTAAACAGTGTCACGCAATGAACTTTGAAAAACATCTTCCATCAAACTGGACTCTGAAACATGCTTTAAATCACATCCTTCAGAGTTCCAGGCCAACGGGCGTTCGAGGCACTGGGCTTTTTCTTTCCTCTTCTTCTTCTTCTTCTTCTTCTTCTTTTCTTTAATGCAAGGGAGGCGTGCAAGACATGCGAGATAAAAATTTGGTGAGCTACCGATTTATTGATCCTTCCGTTCAAGATGACCAACCAGGAGTAAACAGATTTCCATTTGAAGTAAGAAGAAACACCGACGATCAATCTGTAAGCTTCAAACTGCAAATTCCTTCTTCTGAATGAACACTGAGAAAAGACTAAAACTATTCCATCGCGATATGTTCAGGGTTAAGAAAAGTTGTCTTTCCCTGTCTGATATTGTACCCAGAACGAGAAAGAACACTATTAAATAAACAAAGAATTCCTCCTCAAAGTCAGGGACAGGGAAAAAAAGTTAAAGAGTTCGCTATTTCTATAGTGAATATGAAATACGAAATAAGTTTCGAAATTTAGAGCATTCATGCAAATCGCAGAAAAATAACATTGATTAGATACAAGTATAAGATAACCAATATCAGTAGGGTTCCCTACAAACGTGTAGGATAGCTCAGAAGTGATAACAAAGGTATTCTATTCTTATAATAAAACATAGTTTGATAAAGTACCGAAAGGACTCAAGATTTAACCGAATGGTGTCACTAAGGGTTTACTGCATAAACGGTTATTGTGGATGTCATGCATTTTCTGAGTTCTATACGTCCTCTAGCACACCACTCTGAGTGAAAGTCCAACACACCCTTGAGCTTGAGCCAACATCGGCCTGCAAAGCCTTATATTGAAATGCAACTCTCCACAGCATGAAACAATTAAAAGTATGGCTTAGTTCTCCCCCCTGATACATCGAAGGGTCAATCCTAACACTCACTGGGCTACAGTGACTGTTCACAGGCACTGATACACAACCCTAGGTAGAGATTTCTAAAATCTGATTACTCTGAAACTCAGAAAACGGTAACACTAGAAATACATGAGAATTGTGATTGTGTTTCAAGGAAAAAGCCAATCGGGTTTAAGAAACAGCAATAGTAACCAGTCTCAGGATTTGAGATTTGCTCGCGTGTCTTGTACTTTAAGGAGGCCAGTCAGTGCGCAACTGGACCATCAGAAGTTCTGTCAGAATCAAATCATCATCATCATCATTCATTCAATAGTATATCTACAAATTCAACGATATGGTTGGGCGAGGAGACCTCCAAGAAACCACCAAGCTTCTAGAGGGGCCTAACTCGGTTGTCAGTATGTTTGTAATTAAGTTGTGGGTGTGGGGCTTGGTCGATGGATGTTGGGTGAGAATTCCAAATTTCAGGACTTTGGTAGTGTTAACGGTTTTCTGAACTTAACATTAACACCACTACCATTTATTGAATCTGAAACCTATACAGGAATGGTTCTGATGTTGTTTCCCAAACTAGGGCCTTACGCAAAGAAGGCACTGTTCACTACAAGTTTATCATAGGAACTTCGCCCTGAATTACAGCGTAACAACATGACACCGCGTGATCATCCACTCGGAATATGTGTGCTGCATGCTTTGTACAGTACGAATATGGACGATTACGACTTCCTACGACCTTCGAAATATGCAAATTAGAAGAAGTCTTTCAACGCCACCTCTGTTATGTAACTCCTTCTAGGGTGAAACTTCAAAACAACCCCGTATCAATCTGAGGGTTAACAGCTTACTAGAAGAAATGAGCCTGGAACAGGGAAACAGTACACATCTTCGTCTACCTGTTTTAATACAGTGTGCTCTCGATCCAAGTTTTTAGGAAATGTAACGTGAAAAAACCACCAGTCGACTGAAGGATACATCCTTAAAAACGCTTACAATTTGTCATTTTGGCTTTTCGACCCACATTTACTCTGGACTTGGAGCTATCTGTGCGATAATAACAAAACGTTGCTGAAGAAAATTTTTTACTTCGAATGTTGTTGGACAGCAACCAAGTTGTGAGTCTAAAAATTTGCCCACTGAAAATTAGTTCTTTCGTCTTCGCATTCCAAGTTCTCCTTAAAACGTAAAATTAGAACCAGATGATTTGTAGGAAGACTGATGGAACACAGGTATCAGTCACGTTTAAAAACTGATCCAACTTCTACCTTTCAACCCGCTCATAATACACATGTACAGAACCCTTTAAAAACAATGCGACGAGAAAAAAACAAGGACATGGTCAAGTATTTCTTAATCGAACCAATTTTCTCACTCCCAGTAGAAGCAAAACAAACAGCGAATCTTCTGGACTGAATAACCGTTGTGTTCTCTACGAAGGTAACTGTAACATTCTGTGAGTAACGGTGCACCGACATTCTATGCATAAAATCGCTGGAGGAACGAGTTTCACCGGCCATACTCACGAACCCTCCCTAACGCCTATTATTCAAAGAGAGTTAGTTCTACCACACTAGACTACTAATATTCCCTTCCCCTCTTAAATGTACACGGTGAAAACGCAGTCTGGATCCTGCAAACAAGTTATCTCATTTTTAAAATTTGATTCCCCGAGTCCAACAGTCTACGTGTCAGACCGACAGCGAATGTAGACATCACGAAGTCAGCGCGGCCCTGTAATACTAGGTAGAGCTTTCTTCGACGTTCTTCGACTGTTTCAAAGCACAGGAAACTAGGAGAAACTTGACAAATACCTGTTTACGTTCAACGGACGTGATCATTTGATCACAAGCGTGGTAACGCTTCCTCGAGGAGAGTCGTGTGGTTTCGATCCGCGAACGAACACTCTACCCCTTATCCAACAAACAAAATGGCGGTCTAACAGGAATACGTCTTGTTCTTTCTAGTCCCGTGATACGACCTCAGAACCACGTCATAATCACAAACAACATGGTGGGGTATTTTGCGACAATCAGTGACGAATTGAAAATGTGCTTTGCCTCGAGTGATGAATATTCATGCTTGAGCTAGTGGTTTCCAATCTGATTTCTCCTACATGTCGCGTAAATTTCTGGAAAAACCTGCCTAAAGCTAACCCGTACATCTGTCACGAAAACTGACTTTAAATTTTAAACGTGACACACAGCTCAGGCGAATTACAAACTCTTGATGAATTCTTAAACACAGCGTCGAGGCGATTAAAGTTACTCAAGCATCGTCAAGGAACGCAGCGCTGCACCACAGAACTAGCATCGGGTCAAGAGGTTGAATATTGCGAATCATTAATTCTTTCGTTCTTACAAGGCGTTTTCCACTTGCAAGCGTCCTTTGCTATTTGTGTCAAGACGTGTGCAAAACACAACTTCTGTATTATACTGCCACGAGCTAATAGTATTATACATTAAGAACCGATGCATTGCATCGACCTCGCTAGACGACCCCATCCCTATTCAGTTCTGAAATTTATGCGCTGTGAGTTCGATGTGTGTTTCGCTTTTTGTTTGTAATGAGCCTGTTACTTCTCAAAGAGGAAACAAACGGTTTCTAAGCGTCGAATTTATACGCCAAGTTTCACTCTAAAAGAATACTTCCAAAGCTGCAAGCCTAATAAAACAGCCATTTACATTGCGTACTCTGAAATACGTCTCGGAATTCAGTAACTAAAAGCACATGATATCCAGTCTGTTCTCGCGTGGCGTGTTCTGTAGTCTGTGTGTTAAGCTGTTCATCTTTGACTAAAGTAAAATTACCTTCTCATCAGGGGATGCTTCTTGATTACCAGCAGAGTTTTCTTTCTCCGTTTCACCCACGTGAATCCCATTAGAGCACCTTAGAAGAGAGAAATAACAGAATATTCACACGCGATTCAGTCGATTGATCACGGAGACGCCAAGCAAGTTGCTTACAAAGATTGCTCTCTTCCTTGAATGACCACACGATCGCCGCCGTTTGACACGCCAAGAACATCCCAAACATTTCGATCAGCATCGTCAGCCATACTAATGAGGAATGTAAGACAATGAACCAAATGGAAACCATAAATTGGGAAGCATGGCGCATTCGACAACTAAAGTTACCCTGATCTCGAGTTCAATTGCTTGCTCATTACCTATACGTGACGTCATGCAAGTTGCGGAGAATTTACATATTGAGTCTGCGTGTATTGTCATAGGCAAAATAAAAAAACATATGTTGACTCTATAGTTATTCATTAGTCAACAAAAATAGTTTTCTCTCACTCTGCAAGGCATATCAAAATTCGTGCTAAGGTTGTTGAAAAATTACGGATAAAAGCAAACCTTTATGGTAATTTCAGGACCATCGAGAACAAAAAATTTGAGCCCGCGATATATTATCTCGTGACCGATTGCAAGATGGCGACGAAGCCAATCGTTCTTCGCTTGTTCCATTTCCTCTTCGTTTCAGCAGGTAAAACATCGACTCGTAATTCTATTTTTGAACTGAAACAACCATTAGTTGTCTTTCTTCCATATTAGATACTTTCAAAGTTGTAATCGTTTCCCCTGTGGAACAAAATATAACATAAAATCCATTCTTAGGCTTATTATAGTTAACTTAAATATTGTTCATAACCATATCTCGAACTTCTTAGTCATCGCGTTTGATTTTCATTCTCATCGATTGATTCGATAATGCATCTCATAATTGCATTCTAAAACAGCATTTTTTCAAAGACATTACAATTTTCCTCGCTATTTAACCTAATCATAATGCTATCCTCACTGACTTAGCTGCGATGTACATGTAAATCGTAAGCGAAAAACCTTCCCACTACTTAGATTTCTTTTTTACGTTTGCAGTTACAGGCTTATTAAGGAACGGGGAGGATAGCTTCATCATTAGAGAACCAGGCAAGGTACGTCAATTCCGTTCTTTCTTCTTTCTGGATGGTAATTATCACGTTCGAACATGGATCTTTTTGTTAAAACTGTGATCATGTGCACATAATCTGAGACGAGCGATAACTTCGACCTACTAGTGTCTAAAGTAACGCTTCGATCGTGCTCCAGCTAAGGTGATGGAACAAATTCCTTGTTTGTCTTTTTCTCTTATGAATAGTGCGCCTAGAACGGCGCGAAACATCGACCGTCGTGGTAGCTAACAATCTGAAGTTTCACATAGCGATCTCGTCATCGGTTTTCTTTATCCTAAGCCATCGAAAATCTTAATCTTGTTCTTTTTTTTTCTCTGCTTACAATGCTTAAGTTTGCGCGTTTCCTTGATGAAGTGGACAGTTTTTAGTGTTATGTCAGTTATGGGATATCCACTTTGACGGACATGAATTCCTTTTCATTACACTTATCATGTGAATTGACCATTCCACTCGAGGTGACATATAAATCCTTTTTACTTTAACCGATTTGTTGTGATGAAGAGTAAATTTAATTTTGTTTATGCGAATAATGGCACACAACACAAACCAAATTATTAAGAAATTTGTGTCTTACAATCATGTGTCCAATTTTAAATATATTTCTGGAAGACATGTTGCTGTAATAGTGAGCAGAATAGAAGTCATATTTGAGTGTCCAGATTCAAGCTCTGGTGAGGGTCATTGTGTTCTATTTTACATGCAGGCCACTTAACTCTCACAAAATAGCACCATTGAAAAGACAGTGAGACTTGAAGATAGGCTGGTGTGTGATGAGAGGGAGGAGGGAAGGGGGCTACTATGGAGGGATATTCCATCCTGCGTCTCCATAAATATATTTGTCAAATAAAAATGGCCCAAGTACACAATGCTCAAAAAACATACCTTTTCACGTTTCTAGATAAAGAGATACTTATTGGTCTGTAGACCCAGCTGTATGAAGAGTTTGTTAAAGCCCTTGTAGTGTTGTACTTTGAAATGATAGGTAGACCTTAAAACATTTATCTTAACCCTTTAACTCCCAAGATCTCATTAGTAATTCTCCTTACTGTATGCACACAGTTGTTGTGATGTTAGTTTGGAGGATCTGGTATTGGATCAACTTATAATCCCTTAATTGATAATTTCTCTTTAATTTGATCACTTGTCTGCTTTATATTGTATTGAGATTGTAAGGAGAAATTCTGTCTTGGTCACTTGTGGGATTTAAAGGGTTAAGTGCAGATTACATACAATTCACAGTGAAACTCGTCGTGAGCATATAGAGATAACATTCAGAGTTTACTGTCGGTGTCCATTTCGATTGGTGGTTCATGTGTAGACAATTTTTGTTGCAGAATAACACGGCTCAACTGAAAAACTCGATACCTAACTATGTATGCATTTCAGCCTCATCAAACATGCCTTGTGTGAATCATATATGTCTGAGATTCTTTTGTTTTCTTCCTCTGAAAACGCGACACTTCCTAATTCCATTTTGGTCCAGGGTCAGTTAACATATTGCTTTGATAAGAAGGAGCAAAGTCTAATGTGTCACAATAGTAATTTGGAAGGATGTATGTGTATGTTTGACTTTAGAGGGTGAATAATCATTCTACTTGCCTGATGGGTAAGGCTTTTCCTAAGTGTGTTTACTTGTCAGCATGGCTCTACTCTTTTCATTTCATTGTGTGAAAGAACAGTGTATGTGAACAGTCCAAAGGAACTTAAAACCCTTCCTTTTATATTCACCCTTCAATCTCATTTTACTTCCAAAAATGTCTATCGGTCAAGAGTTTAAGTAATTACATTAAAATGTGAAAGAATGTGACCCTATGTAAATTAAAGGCAAGTGGTCCATCACCAAAGCCCTTATCAGATTCCTGAAAGGGAAATGACTAAGAGTCTTAAAACTGATGAATTCCTACAACTCCTACAACTCCTAGGTGTAAGCCATTTACTGAAATGGCTTGGATTATTGGTTATATTCTGAGTTAGATGCCAGAGTGCTTGCCTGCAGTTTTTTTTTAGTTTACATGAAGATGCTCGGGTGTTGTGATGGCATATACATGAACAGACAACTTGGGAGAGGAACTGTGAGGTGCAAACTATTTCTTGTAAGAGGGTAATTTAGTGTTTTCAACTGAGTTGATAATGTAAATTAGCCACCATAAAGAGGTTGAAGGCTGATGATTTGAGCATTAGCCCTTTTCCAGAGTGATTAACAAAGGGCTAATGCTCGAAATATCAGCCTTTAAACTCTAAACAGTGGCCAATGTATGTTATCAACACAGTTGACAACACTTAATTACCCTGTTATATTCTCCCACTGATGCAGCACCACAGTTTTTTTAGAAACTTACCAGTATCCCATTTCTAGTAAGGGTCTCAATAAAGATCATGATAAGGGAGTTAACAGGAATTTCTTGTTAAAGAGGATTCAAGTTTTCAAGAATCAACTGTAGATTTCCTTTCAATCTTTCTAGGAACTGGAAGGTATAATTTTTGCCACATAATGCATTAAGATCAGTAATGAACATCTTTTCTGACAACTGGATAAACATGATGTAGTTTTTTTAAAACTGTACTCAAGACAATTCACTCTTACTACACATCACTGTTTCTCTGGACTGAGGCAACTAGGACCACAGTACTCAAACTGTATCAGATGCTAGTCCATCACAGGTTTTTCTTCCATAATATCCAGCTTTGGGGTAGAGAGAGACTGGTTTTTCCCACTTACACAAAACCTTGTAATTTTATAGAGTAACAATTTCTGTGTTGTGCTGAACACATCATGTTACTTTCACGTGACTTCACGATTTTCAATGTGGTGATGAGTGTGTTATTTATGAAGAGTATTTTACACACATGATATTGCTGTAAGGTGACTTTGCACAGTTAGAAGCTTGTTTGTTGATTTTCACATTAATCCATCATTAAAAACTACTGTTTCCTCATGTGGGGCTTTTCTTGCTCTAAACATGAAGAAGTATTCGGACAGGAAAAGCTTTCTTTTTTAAGAGCGAAGTTTATACAGCAGCTCAACGGGCTAATTTTTTGCACTCTATGAATCATTAGACTTTTTTAAGCGCGAACTGCATATAATTTTAGTACGAACAAAGAACACTCCATGTAGGGAATAACCATAGTAAGTGTGCTAATTTATCATGCAAAGGCATGTTACAACAAGTACATTAGAAGTTTTCATTTAAAACAGTAAAAACGAGTAAACGAAATGCTAGGTTGAATTGATATTTGACTGTGTCATAATGAGACGTTGATGTCCAAAGTTTCAACAAAATTGAAATCTCTTCTGTCGTTTTTGTGTATTTCTTTTTGATGATTTTTCTCAACGTATACCCCATTCACACCCAAGCTAAATCGCGTTTTGAAGCTGTTTGTCAAACACGGTTTGAAATTTTTTTCTTCACTTAAGTCGCTTAAACTCCCGTTTGTCGTCGTCAACTTTAGCTGAATGAAAATTTAAAGTTAGTAATTACTGGGACCCTGTGTAAAATTTAGTCCTTACTTTTCTGTTGCTAATTTTTATTCAGTCCAACCCGGTTAAAACAAATGCTTTGTGAATGGGGTATTTAGTTAAGGATTTACCCGGCGTCTGTTTTCCTTGTTAAACAAAATGATATTACACGAAACAGGCCATGTTACTGTGACTAAGGCAAATTAGAAAACGTTTCAACTATGTTGCCTCGTTGCAGAAATTTGGAAAGAAAATTCAGGTATTGCATGTCGCTCTTTTGGGTAATGTTATGGCTGGGAAAATTCAAATCTTTGATGCATTTTATATACCAAAAGATCTCAGAATATTTTTATATTTAGAGGAACCTTTTTAGGAAAGAATGTTATAGTAATAATCAATTATATTTTAATGTCAAAAGGAGATTTTTTAGAAGTGTTGGAAGATTTAGTTAATGATAATTCGTCTAATTAGGAACACTATTGTTGATAAAACTTCACAGAATTTCCGGTTTTGATACTGATTCTTTGTGACCGTAATATTACGAGAGAAGAGACTTGCAACGTGAGTAAAGATTCACTTTGCAAGGTGACAGCTACTGACTGATATTTCAAATACCTGATAATGGCCCTCTTATAGTTTGTCGAATCGTTAGTAATTATTATGAATAGTCTTTTTTCAGGGATTCCGTCACCCGCACGATGAAACTTCACGATGAATTGTTACTTCTGAGTTCAAAA